TAGGAGAAAGCACCGTGGGGCTGGCCGTACATGCCACCCTTACCGGCGTAGGGACCATACTGGCTACCATAGCCGTATTGCTGGTTGTGCTGCTGCTGTTGCTGCTGCATGTAGTGATCCTCATACCGGCGAGCATCATCGTACCTCGGGCGGTTGCCGCCACCGTACTGCTGCTGCTGTTGCTGCTGCTGGCCCATCTGGTTCATGTAGGAAGCGTAGTGGGGGTTGTTGTAGTAGTTAGGGTATTGGTAGCCATATGCGTGCTGCGCAGTTTGGCCAGGCATATGCTGAGCAGCGGGGGTCTGCTGAGTGGCGACGGGGACGGTGGGGTTGGGGGTGTTGTGTCCGCTGTTAGTGGCGTCAATAGGGCCGTAGCGGTTGGGAGGCTGCGTGGTGGGGACCTGGGCCTGGGCCTCGGCAGCCGAGACACCAAACCCAGCTCCGGCGCGAGGACCGGCGGGGGCATCCTGGGACTGGCCGTAAGAGCCATAGGAGGCGTAGTAGGGGAAACGCTGCTGCTCGGCGGCGTAGAAAGGAGAGTACTCGCTGCCAGTGGTGGCAGTGGGCTGAGCAGGGGCCTGGTTGGCAAACGGCTCTGGAATCTGCGGCTGCGGCTGGCTCACCTGCTGGGTGAACGGATCGAATGGCTTCTGCTGGGGCTCAGAGTAACGAGCAAAGTCGGTAAAAGAGTCGGCAGAAGCGCCCTGAGGGACCGGAGGCAAACCAGGAGCAGGACGCCCAGCGGCACCAGTCTCCATCGAGTGTGGTGCCTGGGTCGCGGGTGGAAGAGAGGCACGGGGAGCAACAGGGGAGTGCTGCGGGGGCTGAGCGCGGGTCTCAGCCTCCTCACGGTTCTCATCGATATCAATAGCATCACCGTTCAGTCCCATGCTGCCGAATTGAACCGCAGCGCGGTCCACTGCGTGGTTGCCGGGCATGACCACAGCCTGCTGCTGTTCCATCACACGGCGTTGAAGACCTGGGGTACGGCCCTGCTTGGTAGCGCTGGGAGGGTAGGCAGACGAGGGGAAGCGGGAGGGAGTAGTAGCAGCCGCGGCCGCGGCCGCGGGGTCGATACCACTTCCAATGGTGCTTGCGGCGGTGGCGGTAGGAGCGGGAGCGGATACATCGGGAATTTGTTCGAGGTTCGTCTCGGTCAAATCGCCCTTAGGAGGGTTAACAGCGGTGGTCGGAATGGCAGGGATCACGGGGTGGGTGGGCTTGGCGATGGGTGTCTTCTGGGAGGCAGCGAGCGCAGTCACAGGTTCAGGAGCGGGGGCGGGGGGAGATGGCTCGGCCACAGGCTCGGCGGGCTTCTCGACAGCGGGAACAGGAGGAGCGGCTTGAGGTTTCTTTTGCACGGGAGGAGCGGGTGGTTTGGCGAAAAGACTCGCCCACCCCTTCTTTGTGCCCTCAGGAATCACACTGCTCTTAGCCTCGGTCGACTCCCATTCGCCCTCGGCTGAAGGCTCTGCAACGGTCTCCTCTGCCTTGGGCGCAGCCCACTCCGATGTGACAGCAGGAATAGCAGTAGACGCCGGAGTCTCTACAGCAGTGGACACTGCGCGAGTTCCATTTGTAGCGGATCCTGCACGGCCTCCGCGACCACCACGGCCCCGGTCTGCGCGAACACGTCCACGACCCTCTATTCCACCGCGACCACGGGTTCCACGAGCGGAAGCTGCAGTTGTCTCAGTCGAGGCGCTCGGGGCCTCCTTGGGCTTAGGGCGAGTCCGGTCTGTGGTCTTCTTCTTGACCTCACCCCACTGAGATACATTACCTACAAAGCCAGTCAGTCACGGTCCTCGAATCACAAGATTCGATTGATTTCGAGTCGGGAGAATTGGGGTTGACGGGAACTCGACCTTCACTGATGCGCTCAATTGCCTCCAACAGCTCGCCGTTCGAGTCTTCCAGTGCGAACACCAGATCTTCGTCCTTCCAGTCTGGGAACATTTCCTTAAGAGTTGGGAGAGTGTCGGAGTACTTCTTCTTCATCTGTCCAATTTCACCCTCCTCAAAGGATGAGATGTCTGAGTTGTCATTTGCAGATCTGTTTCCACCACGACCGCCTCTGGAGCTGAAACCGCCACGGCCACCACGGGCGGATACTCTACCCCGCGAGGCGGAGGATCGGTTCTGAATATCGGACATATTGATTGATGAAGATGTGTAAGATGGAGAAGTATTGAGGGAGGAAGGAGGTCACGATTCGCAAGGAAAGGCTATTGAAATGAAGCACCCTCGCAGAAGAGGAACAGCACCAGAACCACAGGCACGGGGGCCAGAAGAAACGAGAAGAAGAGGTAAAATCAAAGAGATTAATTGGGGGGAGAGGGAGAATACGTTAGGAGATGACAAGATTGAAGAAAGGATCAAAAGCTAACGGGATCTGAGTTGCTTCCCTTCAAGTCTTGGCGTTGCCTGGCTTTTAGCGAGTGGCGCTTATTGGATGCTGGGGGAATTTACAGTAACAAAGGGATCTCTACTTAAGTCTATTTTACATTTTTAAGATATTTTTGATTTAGAATAATTATATTGGACTATATTTATAGATATAGACATCTAGTTATATTCTACTAATTGAAATGGAAATTATTTTTAGGTAAATAGTTTTTGTGTCAGTGTGGTTTTTCTTTTTTCTTTTTTTTTTTGATTTCTTCTACTCGTCATTCACCTTTTTTTCGCCCTTTGGAAGGAGACGAGGCTTGTTTCACCGCCCTCGTCGATCCTCCCTCTTTAACCTCGATGCATCATCTAACATACCTACATAGGTACCCATAAACTTTGTAACTCTCATCATCATGAAGGGTACATCCATTTTTCAGTTCAAGTCCTGGCCCAAAATCCATCAACCCTTGCCTCGTACTCCACGAGAGTCTCAGCAACTGCTAAATGCCCTGACATCTTCCTTTCGTCGCCAACTAGATGGGGCTTATCCCGCATCAGGCAACAATCATGGCCGACCTCTCTCCAACCCGGAATCATCAGCGCATGCAACCGATCAGCATTTGCAGAACATCCTCGATAACCCTCTTTTCCGTATCATTCCAACCAGACCCATCTCACAGGAACCCACTCCATTGCAAAGCATCGAGGGCCAACGACGACTAGCCGAGGAACCCATGGCAGTATTTGATCAAATGGCTGCAGCTGGCTCAGTCACTCCACTCACAATCAATGATTGTCTGAAGTCTCAACTTCTCCTTTCCAGATCCCCGGCCGATATGAACACATCTCGGGTGGCATCTCGGATTGTTGATTGGTATTGGGCCTCAGATGGCACATCGAGGCAAATGCTTCTACGTTTGCGTTCAGTGACTACATCGTTGACCAAGTTCATGGTAGCAGAGGGGTTGCACAGTACTGTCATGCAGTGGTTGCAAATGCTCATGGGCCATGATCTAGGTAGTCAGAATGGCCAGATGACTGAAGGGCTCGCGCGGCAGACCTTCAATCATCTCCTTGTTGATTTTATAGATGCAGAATCCTGCTTTGGAAATGGCTTTGACTCGGCGATGGCACATTATCTGAGTGTATGCCAGATGCATTTCCAGAGTGCTTCTTCCCATAAGTCAAGGAAACCAATGCTCCTGGCTGCAGGTGCTCACCTAACCCGCATGGCCATGGAACACAAACCATCGGGTGAGCAGGTATCAACGTTAGTGTATGACCAGTTCAAGGATACGGTTTCTGTGCTGTCTCCTCGGTCCTTACTGGTAGCATCTGTGGCTGTCTGTCACCCAACAAATCCTGATCCACGGCCATTCCTCCAATTCGTGGCGAACCTCTCACCAAGCAAATTCCAGGCTTGGAATGAAATTAGGCGCGATGCTTTCTTCGAGATTGGTTCGGAGGTTCTTCGCGTCCTTATTGACCGGAAGAGGTTCCGTGATATCTCCCGTCTGGAGGAACATATTTCAGAACTGCTACCCGAACAGCCAGCAGCTCCAGTCGATGAGAAGTCACATACATCGTCTGAAGAGGAACATCTCGGCCGTTTGAACTGGAGTTTTACATGATCCTCTTGTCCCAGACTTATTGCACAACCACTCTACTCTCGTACCTAGCTAGGATGTTTTAAGAACACCTAAGCCAGCGCGAACACTCATGAGGCACACACGTTTCTCTATTTTTCTACCATAAGAGGCGATCATAGGCAGGATCACTGCAGTCATGCCGGCATGCTGCTAGGATACAATTCCCCTCTGGATCCATTTGTGTACTATTACACAATTGAAATTATTTCAGCCTGGCTGTTCGACCAGCCTATTCTCCCAACCATCGCACAAAGGAAATCCACTACCGCTACTTCACCCCAGGTTAGAGCCTCATCTTCTTGCTTCTTGCCGGTCGTGCATACATTCCTTGCCGAGTTGTATGGGGATTTAGTTGCAAGGAAGACTCGGCTAAAACAGAATTGGAGGTGTGTGATGCACCTGGATACTATCAATTATCCTCAAACTTACCTCTTCGTTATACCAAATATACGAAAGCCCTCCTTTTCTCTCATATATATAACCCATTGTGAATAGTGGCTCGGCCAATTTCCTAGACAAGCCATTTAAGCCCAATGAAGAGCATAACCTAAACATGTCTACACGATTTCCTATCTAGGGATAAGGTTCACAGCCTTTGTGGTCGAGTACTAACCTTTAACAAAGCTGTGGTGCCCACAGCTACCTCTTGTGGAGATCATTGCGTGGCAATTATAATTCTGGATCTGGTGAGGCTGTGCGACAGAATGCCACGGTGAGTTAAGAGGGCTGGAGCGACGAATCAGCCGGGGGCAGCGTCTCCAGTGCTCTCGAGTACGTCACCGCGCGACCTCACCTCATACTCCCCCTCCCCGAATTAACCGACTTCTCTTTGCTTCTTTTTTCCTCGTACAAACTTACCTGAGCAAGAATTTGAGTCGCATTGCTTCTGCGAATACGCTCCCACTCAATCTCTGCCAATTTAAATCACATTGCCCCGGCATCTGACATCATCGATCCACAATGACTTCTTCAGCAGCAGCCCCCGTGCAGAATGCAGTTTCAGGTATGTGATTTATCTGCACATGCACTACCACACAACCCAAGGGGCAATTGGTCTAAACGGCCTATTTGTTTTCTCAAATATGGTTGCAGGACGGTGTTTCTTTAACCGGATGCTTGTAAATTGCCCAGGTGCACGCCAGATGCTGACTAAGGGACACAACAGATCGGGATACTGCCCAGCTAGTCAAAGAACACTCGCATGCATTCCAGAACAGATTAAACACAACTCAAACAGATAGCCCACCTATTCCTGAAACGGCAAAGTCCGATATAGACACCGATCAGCTAAAGGCAGAAGCAGGGCTTGAGGCACCCAAGCCCGCCTCAGAAACTACGCCACCTGTGACAGAGCCCACAGAATCTGCTCCCGGCAGTGCTCCCATTGCCCGTCAGTCACAAATCTCAGTAGGGCCCAAAAATGAGACAGTGGCGGGTGAGAAACGTGACATTGATTCGGCTGTGACGCCCACTCCAGCCCTGGCTGAGGACGAGGAGCAACAAAAGCCTGAACCGTCAGATGAGCCTGATACCAAGAAGCTGAAGACAGACGAAAAGCCTGTCTCAGATTCCAATGGCACCGCTGCTGCTCCTTCCAACACAGAGAACGGAGCAAAGAAGGAGGTCAGTCGGTCCAAGAAGGAGAAGATCAAGGATGTCGTGAACAGGGTTATCCCAGGAGATGGTATTGGTAGCCGGACTCGCAGCCGGACAAAGGGTGCTTGAATAGGCTGAGTCACTATACTTGCAGGTTTGCCGTGTTAATTCCATGCCATTATGTCTGCTCCGCCTTCGAATGGTGTCTATTCATGTCCGGGACTTTCCATGGTTGTGGGCCGTACACGCGCTGCAATAAGAAGAATATACTTTCCTTGGCCAAGTTGGGCGGGAAAAATATCAAACTCAGGAACAACTGAATTTCGAACCCTTATATGCATGATCTTGTATGGCGTTTCAAGAAAAGGAACTGTTTGTACACCGTACTAGGTAGTATGTTGTAGTAGGCATCTGCTATGTCCCATAACTTCTGATTGACATAACCCTGTCACTCCTTACTCTCTGCTCCATCCTTATTATTTGGAGCACCACTTTTGCTTTCAAATAATATCCAACGCCTACGGCTCTTTCGGAGCTTTAAGTTTCAAGGAGCCGATAATCGGGACTGAGTCATTCCTCGGAGCGGAATAACCATTGCCATCCCCGCTTATTACTGGAGGGGAAAGTCTGTGTCATTATTGGTGATAGGCAATTAATATCTGTTTGGTTTCTTATTCCCTCATCAGCATATTCTAATTCTCTACTTTCAAAATGGCTGGACAAAAGATTTGGCTGCGCGCTGAGACCAAGCCCGCTGAGGCGCGGTCTGCCTGTGAGTAGCTTCAGCCCACAATGGCGGGGGAAGCAATTGGCTAATACATTATCTAGTGACCCCAACTACCTGCAAGGCATTGATCGATGCTGGATATGATGTGACTGTCGAGCGCTCAACTCAACGCATCTTTGACGGTACGTCCAATTTCCCATATTACCCATACTCCCCGTATCCATTGCTGTTGGACTTGATGACTGATTTCGCTTTATAGATGAGGAATTCTCCAAGGTATGGTTCACTCCGTAATATAACTCAACCCCGCCCTGAATATCATCGATTGTTATAGATCGGTGCGCCTTTGGTCGAGGAAGGATCCTGGGTTCAGGATGCGCCCAAGGATGCCGTCATTCTGGGTCTCAAGGAGCTGCCGGAGGATGACTTCCCTCTGGAGCACGTCCACGTCACTTTCGCACACTGCTTCAAGCAGCAGGGCGGCTGGGAAAAGGTTCTCAGCCGTTGGCCTCGCGGCAAGGGCACATTGCTCGACCTGGAATTCTTGACTGATGATTCCGGACGCCGAGTTGCTGGTAAGAGTCATGTCCCGAAGTGTTCTTTTTTGACTCAATCAACTAATCTTTTCTATTTACTAGCCTTCGGGTGGTCCGCCGGTTACGCAGGTATCTATACGTGAAGCTCGATGTTTGGCACAATCAATACTAAGACGTGGAACAGGATCTGCTTTGGCTGTGAAGAACTGGGCTTGGCAATTGACACACCCCAACGAGACCTTGCCTGGTGAGGTCCCCTATGCCAACCAAGACCGTCTGGTCGAGTCTGTCAAGGAGTCGCTCGAGGCTGGCAAGAAGGTCGCTGGAAAGGCACCTAAGATCCTTGTCATTGGAGCTGTGAGTTTTGTGCAGATCTGCGGAAAGCGATATACATATTAACAATCTTACAGCTCGGACGCTGTGGCAGCGGTGCCGTGCAGCTGGCCAAGGATGTCGGTATTCCCGAGTCCAACATTATTGAGTGGGACATGGCAGAGACTGCGCGAGGTGAGTCAATTACTATTTCGAGCCTTTTCAATTTAATCCAAGTTCATAAATTAACATACACAGGTGGTCCTTTCAAGGAAATCTCACACGAAGCGGATATCTTTGTCAACTGCATCTACCTCTCAGCTAAGATTCCAGGTAATTTTATACATACATCCTCCGGTCCCGGCTCAATTGGCTGATATCTTTCTTTTTGCATTAGCCTTCGTGAACCTGGAGTCTCTCTCTGCCCCTAACCGAACCCTGTCTGTTATCTGCGACGTCAGCGCCGACACGTGAGTTATCGGACATGAACTATGCTAGCGAGTGCACAGCTAATTCTCAAAAGATCTAACCCTTTGAACCCTATTCCTTTGTACGACATTACGACCACTTTCGATAAGCCCACAGTTCCCGTCTCCGGCCTGGAGGCTGGAGGCCTACCTCTCAGCGTGATCAGCATTGATCACCTCCCATCTCTCCTTCCCCGTGAGAGCTCTGAGATGTTCAGCGAGGCTCTTCTGCCTAGTCTTCTCACGCTTAATGACCGGGCCAACTCTCGGGTCTGGAAGCAGGCTGAGCAGCTCTTCGATGAGAAGGTTGCTACCCTGCCTAAGTCGCTTCAGGCCTAAGCTTGCTGTGCTGGTAGGCGTCTTTGTGTCGGAGAAATTTACATGATTGGGTACATTTGATAGAAATAGTTTCAGATACGGAATGCTACAAAAGTTGCAATTTCAGACACATGACAGATGATGAAGATAATATGAATCGTACCCCGTTTCCTTCTAGAACGGCCGTAGAAGCTCGGTGGTGTCTCTACCAGTGTGGCAAGATATATGTACATGCATAGTCAAGTTCAAACAGTGCTGTTCACATTATCTAGGTGTTTTTGACCAATCATTTGATTCATTCTCAAGCGAATCGCTCTCACATGGCGGAGATGACTCGTCTGAAAGTTTATGTTGCTTTTGAGAGGCCTAAGCCCATATTTCCGACACATAGATATTCTGACACCCATGACATTTCTGATATTTCAAAACTCATCTTCCAAGATATGGCTCACTTTACCCCAGACTACATGTAACCGCCGTCAACCTCCGTAATATGCGGGGGATATGTAAGACGGATATCCGGAGAATCCGCCCGGGGGGGGGGTCTAACCCACTATAACGGCCTAAGAGGAATGCCTCATTGGATGAAATCAAAGTCTCATGCGGAAACGAAGACAGGAATGTGCTCATTTCCTTCACTTCGAGTCGGGATAATCGTGGAGTTTGCCCCGTTTGACTGTGGCTAACCTGATTTTGGACTCCGGTCGAAAATGCTCATTGTTTCCTTCTCCGCATAAATCGCATGACGCTCCACTCTCGCCCCTTCTCCCATCTTCCCCGAACTTATTCAATTCTGCACCCAAAATTGATCTGTCAGCCCTTCAATCTCGGAAGACCCTGGCCCCCATATTGGACTACATTGGTCTTCTCTTGTGATCAATTCTCTGACATCTCACACCTTTCCTTACCTACATCCGGGCTAATCCGAGGATGGGGTAGTGAGATTGAAGTTTGCCTGTTTCGACACCTACACGAACCGCCGAACCTCCCTTCCTCTATACCACATTGCTTGATGCAAGAAAAGCCGACAACGGTCGCCGCCTATGCGGCCGGGGCCTCGCTCGCCGCCGTTGCTCTGTTCTACGTCTTTGGGCCGAACTACACAATCGACGGAGATGAGTCAAACGATAGCAATCGCAAGAAGAGCATCGTGGGTCTGTCCAACCTGGCCAATGACTGCTTTATCAATTCGGTGCTGCAGGCATTAGCCGGATTGGGGGATCTGCGAGTCTACCTGATCCGCGAGCTGCACCGGCGCCAGCTGGATGGACCGGAAATATACCATACGCTACCGAGCGAGGATGAACTTTCGCCAGCGCGGTCGGACAAATTGCGGGAGTTACAACAGGGGATAACCACACGGGCATTGAAGGAGATGCTGGACCGGTTGAATGAGCGGCCGATCTACAAGAAAACTATCTCAGCCCGCGATTTCATCCAGGCTCTAGAATACGCGTTTCGCACGCGCATCAGCCGCAATCAGCAGGACGCGCAGGAATTCTTACAGATTGTTCTCGAGCGGCTCTGCGATGAGTACCATGCTGGTGCGCGCGCACGTCAACGAGCATTGGGTGCCATTGACGTAGCTGCGTCCAGCACGGCAGGCGAAGAGGGCAGCACACAAGAAAGCTCGTCCGAGGTGGAGGTGCGCATCGATGATGGTTCTGCCAATGGACTGCCTGCCATCATCGACACGAAACTCAAGGAAATCGACCAGGAGTCTGGATTCCCGTTCGAGGGCAAAATGGAGTCGCAGATCGAGTGCCAGTTTTGCCATTACCAATATAAGCCAAACCAGACGGCTTTTGTCAACTTGACACTGCAGGTGCCGCAGAAGAGCTCGACGACCCTCAACTCGTGCTTCGACGGCCTCCTCAAGACGGAATATATCGAGGATTTCCGTTGCGACCGATGTCGCCTGCGGCATGCTGTGGATGTGAAGACCACCGAGCTAGCCCGTACCCGAACACAAGGCGATCGAGATCGGTTAGAACAGGAGATTTCCCGCCTCTGCGAGGCTCTAGAGACGGACCCCGAGGCCGAGCTGGAGGGTATCGTATTCCCTCCGTCAGAGACCGCCCCCAAGCGCAGGATTGCGCGGCATATGCGCATCACAGCGTTCCCAAAGGTCATCGCCATCCACTTGTCGCGGTCGATCTTTGATCAAAGCAGTTCGAGCAAGAACGCGGCCAAGGTCTCGTTCCCAGAGCGGCTCCCCTTGGGAAGCATCTTAAGCCAGAAATGGTACAAGCTGCTTGCGATTGTCTGTCATAAAGGTAGCCACCACAGCGGACACTACGAGTCCTTCCGACGGAATCATATCTACCCTCCGTTCTCGACACCCGAGGTCTTCAGCTCCTATGCACAGAGTCGCACTGCCAGTCAGAGCCCCTCCGTGGCGCCCAGCCCCCGGATTGTACCACGTAGCAGCCCCGATGCTGACGGCGATGGAAGCATCTCGAGGGCAGGCTCGTCGACCTCGCTATCTGGAGCTTCAGCGACCCAACTCTCCCCTCCTCAACTACGGCCTACAACCTCTGGGTCGCGTCGTTCGTTCCAGAGCACCACCTCCCGTTCTTCCAAACAGACATTGTCCCCTACATCTGATAACAACAGCCCGACGACAGACCCGGGTCGCTGGAGTCCGTCCCGGCCCTCCCACAACATACCCCGCCCTTCCCAGGATGCCCCCACTGGGGTCAGTTCGCGGCTTCGGCGCCGTCGCAAACCGAACGATCGATGGTGGCGCATTTCGGACGAGAAAATTAAGGAATGTAAGACCTCAGACGTGCTGGGCATGCAAAGGGAGGTCTATCTCTTGTTCTACGAGTTGGAGAAGCCCGACACGAGCGGAGGTTGATAGCATAGGCGTTTTCTTTTTCTTTTAGAGTCCAGTACATAAACATGCCCATACTTTTGTACAGATGGGGTATCAAATTAAGAGGTGATTTAGAAAGTGCTAAACGCTCGGAATAGTTGAAATCCGAATGGGAAAAGGGGAAAGGGAAAAGGGAAAAGGGAAATAGTAACTTCCGATAAACGGCACAGAACATATGATGTCACTCGACTTTCCGCCATGCCCCTCTACAACATATGTCTACATCGTACATCATATGTACATCGTATGTAGAACGTACGATGTACATATGTAGTATATTTATTCTATAGTCTTCACATCTTCACCGGAGAATGAATTCGAAGTAAATTAAACGGTATTGAATATTAAATATGAATACTAAAGTAATAAAGTAATAGAAAATGGAAATGTAGCGAATGGCCTCGAATTCCTCGGCCCCGCCACGAACAAAATACGGATTCTTCGGGGCACTCTTGTTGGGATTGGGGTGAGTTCTTCTCTTGTTATATCCAGGCATCGCTATTATATAGCTATCATAGCTGGTATTAGCTGTAATAGGATGTTGATAAATGTGACCATTACAAACTTAGAAGCTCAATCTCATGATATAGATGTAAAAAAAAATTAAAAAATTAAAAAAAAGGCCTCATTTCCTAAAGCTCTGAATAGCTCCCGGATACAACAACATCGGGCTATCACGGGAAAAGGTCGGGAAGACCACCAGGACTGGCCATACATAAAGAGGTTATATTAGATCATCTCATCTCTTTTATCTCTTTTCTCTCTATTATCTCTCTTTTTTTCTTGAAATCACACTGACCTCACTTCAGTTCCACAAAATCTCCACCACCGGTGAGTCTACCTTGTCTCTCCTTCACCGATGACGCTTGCCCCTCCTCTGCCTTTTGCCCCTCCTCCTTATTTAACTCTGCCCGCTTTCAGCTCCCGGTAAGGAGCTTGGTTTCACTACATTTAACTACTTTACCATTGGATCTGACCTTCTTTTTCTTCTTTCTCTTTAGATTTCTACAAACCAAAATCTTTGTACAAACTTCATAATGGGTGTCCTTGAGCAACTTAACCGCAAGTCCGGTGTCATCGTCGGTGACGATGTCCTCCGTCTCTTCGAGTACGCTAAGCAGAACGGCTTTGCCATTCCTGCTATCGTGAGTTCCTAAATGTCAATCGTTTACAATTGGAATCGTGTACTAACTCCCCACTAGAACGTCACCTCCTCTTCCACTGTTGTCGCTTCCCTCGAGGCTGCTCGTGACCAGAAGTGCCCCGTTATCCTGCAGGTCTCCCAGGGTGGTGCCGCTTTCTTCGCTGGTAAGGGTGTGAGCAACGAGGGCCAGAAGGCCTCCATTGCTGGCTCCGTCGCCGCTGCCCACTACATCCGTAGCGTGGCCACCGCCTATGACATCCCCGTCATCCTTCACACCGATCACTGCGCCAAGAAGCTCCTTCCTTGGCTTGATGGTATGCTCGATGCCGATGAGGCTTACTTCAAGCTGCACAACGAGCCCCTCTTCTCCTCCCACATGATTGATCTGTCCGAGGAGCCCGTCGACTACAACATCAACACCACCGCCGCCTACCTTAAGCGTGCTGCCCCCATGAAGCAGTGGCTCGAGATGGTATGTCAAGCCCAAAAAAAAAAAGAACATCAAATTATAACATCGATACACTGCTAATCACTTCTACAGGAGATCGGTATCACCGGTGGTGAGGAGGACGGTGTCAACAACGAGGATGTTGACAACAACTCCCTCTACACCCAGCCCGAGGACATCCTGGCCATCCAGAACACCCTCGCCGCCATCAGCCCCTACTTCTCCATTGCCGCTGGCTTCGGTAACGTCCACGGTGTCTACAAGCCCGGCAACGTCAAGCTCCACCCCGAGCTCCTCTCCAAGCACCAGAAGTACGTCAAGGAGCAGACCGGTTCTTCCTCCGACAAGCCCGTCTTCTTCGTCTTCCACGGTGGTTCCGGCTCTTCCAAGGAGGAGTTCAAGGAGGCCATTAGCTACGGTGTCGTCAAGGTCAACGTCGACACTGACATGCAGTTCGCCTACCTCGCCGGTGTCCGTGACTTCGTCCTCAGCAAGAAGGACTACCTCATGACCCAGGTCGGTAACCCCGACGGTGCTGATAAGCCCAACAAGAAGGCCTTCGATCCCCGCGTCTGGGTTCGCGAGGGTGAGAAGACCATGAGCGTGCGTGTTAAGGAGGCCCTCGCGGACTTCAACACTGCTGGTCAGCTGTAAATGTTGACGTCTATGTGATGTCGCATGTTTGATTCCCTTTTTTTTACCCCTTTTGATTACCCTCATATCCTCTCTTCATGCGGCCGAAAAAGCGTTGGGCGTGCCTGGGGATGTGGGCGTCCCGGTTGTATGTAGCGTTGTATTTTGACACGCTGTAATGAATGTCCATATCACGGTCCTTATGACCGCTCCTCTGGAATATGAACTGTAACGTTCTGTTTGATAATTATATTCCATCAATATTCGATGTAATGACTAGCTAGGCCGTATATTATTCCTTCCTTGCCAAGAGGTTGCTGTATACTTCGATCTATCCACTACCAACTCCACCTTCGAATTACGTACGTAGACATATACGTACGGAGTATATTGCTGCACTATAGATTCTGTTGTAACATCTTGTTGATATTTGCTTGTCTCCTGGCTCTACCGTTGTTACTCAATCCCGAAGCCTAGCCTCTAGGATATGAAGTGGTTCACTCGATGGGCAAAACCATTGGGCTTCTCTCCTCTCCTGTGCTTTACTTCTCTCTTAGAATTCCATAAAAGCTCGCCCGATTGATTCACAAACACCTTCCTTTTCTCATACATCAATCTTCGACCTCCATCAACCTCCATCTCGATTCCGTAACCCAAAACATCGGAGTGAGCCCTTGCTCCTCTCTCCCTCATCAAAGAGAAATTACACCAGCACCGCAAATCATCATGCCCTCTACTCGACTGGCCCAAGTTCCACAACAGGTACATACAACCAAATTCAAGCATAGTCCTCTCTGCTAACAAACCTAATGCTATAACAGGTCCTCGACCTCAGCGGCAATCTAGAAGAACTGGTCTTCACCAAGACGGCAATTGGAATCTACGACCGAACTATGCTGGCAATCAACAACTCGACCACGACACCCGCACAGCTCAATCTGCACCGTGGGTCCTGGCTTCAGGCCAAGTCGAAAGTGGCATCCTTGCACCGGAGCATTGTGGCGGATTTCAATCGGCTGCCGCGTCATATGAAACGCACGTTTGTGAGGGCTAATCGCTCGACTCTATGCGAGCATGGGTTTCGGCCATCGACTGATAACTTGGAGATTACTCGTCCTGGTAGTAGAAGGGTTGTTATTGTGCTTTGAAATGGGAGGTTGGGTACAGAGTGGTATGGAGAATTAGCTATGTGGATTGTTGGTGACTGGTTTGTCCTGCTATAGCTGTCTCATCCATCACTTTTCAACCTCAATCTCAGCTTCCTCCTCCTTTATTCTCCTTCATCATTCTTTCTCATCCTCCTTTCTCATCCTCCATCCCGACTCCACAACTCAAAACATCGGTATGAACTCTATTTACTCCCAAGATCAATCGCCGTCTCTTACTAACAAGTCTCCAAAGGGAAAACTATGAAAGCACCGCAAGCCACCATGCCGTCTACCGAAATACCTCTCATCCTACCACTAGCGGTACATATAACGAGATCCAAGCATACGACGCCCTATTGACGGACCCACTATCGTAATAGTTCATAGACCTCGACAACGAACTACAAGAGCTAATCCACCTCGAGGCGGCTATGAGACTCTACAATCAAACTGTGGGATTCAGAAACTTGACGATGATGGCAACTGGAGAGATCCCAATTTCCGATATGATATCGACCAAGGCTATGCTCAGTCTCCATCTCGAGTCTTGGGCACAAGCTAGGGAAAAAGAGGAATATTTGAAGCGGAGTATTCTAGCGCGTCTTAGACGGCTTCCGGAAGATATGGAATACGTCTTCGTGAGAGCTCATCGCTCGGCTCTGAATGATCTTGAGCTTTAGGGATTGGCGGTTGGGTTAGAGAATGCTTGCCTTGGCAGCAGCGATATTATCTTTGGGTGCTGAAACACTGGTATGACGTTGGATATGCTGAGAATTAGTTCATTTGTTCCGTGGATTGTTGCTGACTGGCTTGTTCTGTTAGAGACCTCGGGGGTTCGTGGTTTGACTCCAATGTTTCTGGGGGAGGCGATGGGTGCTTTCTTGTCCATATCTCATTGATTCCTGTTGCGATTCTCGAATGCTTGCACCGCTAATGGAAGGCTTGAAAATTCATACGAATACAAATTGATTCTCAAAATTAGGCTTTCACCATCACATTGCAGCGATTTTTGTAATGACTATAGAGATTCATTTGACTCGCCAACTCACCTAGGAATGGGTTGGGAGCGGATCAGGATCATGTACAAGTTATCTATGGTAGAAGTGCAATATAGCAATGGCAAGGAAATTGACTGGTAGATCGATGGTTGATAGCCATGTTTCTGCTGTAGTGAGGTTAACTGACATACAATCCTGCCGAGATCCTCGTGCATGGATGGGCTGGTTGGACCGAGATGATAATTCACTAGGTAAGATTAACACCTACAGGGACTACTGCCTTCTTCAAACAGAGCAGACATACAAAGGGGAAATGGATAAAACTCTCAGTTGATGTTATACGGAAGTAATACAGGTTCCGCTAGGAAGGATATAAACCACAGCAGCGATGATCAAATCTCGCATTGATGAATCTACAAGAGTAACATGACAGCATTTCAGTCGTAAGCGGGGCGACTCTCAGATAACGACAACTCAATCTATGATCCAAGATTCCATACACGTAGGCGCCCAAATGCGGGACGTCAGCATGCATAAAAACAGAGATATTTTTTTGACAGAGCAGCCGATTCTCGAATCAGAGCACAGCAGCGCTATCAACAAGCGTGCTTGCGAGTCCACTCCCGCGCAACCTCCTCGTAGCGTACCCGGTCGTTTCTGTACTGCTCTGCGATCCGTCCCTCAACGGCGTCGTCGGGCATAGGCTCGGATAGTAGCTGGCGGGCGAACTGAAGGACTGCAGCGATCTTCGAACTGGGTTTCCATTCGTCGGCTCGGAGCATCCCTAGGCACATGCTTCCTTTTTCGTCGTTTGTTACATTCGGGTGGTAGATTTTCGTTGCGAAGGAGACTGTCGGTGGCTTGAAGGGGTATTCCGTGGGTAGGGAGAGCTTAACTAGGAACTTGCCATTCTAAATTGTTTGCCAGGGGGTTAGAAACGCTGTTTGTTGGACTTGAACTGTGGAGGTTCGAGGGTGGGGACCCCTGTTGGGGACCTTGATGGGAGATGAGAAGGATAACGGGGTGTTATATGTATTATGTTTTGACATACGTGATATGGTGAGCCTTCAGGCCCCTCCATGGTGATCTTCCACTCGTACACGTTCGACTCATCGGCCAGTTCAACCGTGATCCCTTCTGGAGGGGATTCGGTGAGCTCAGTCAGCTCCTATAGTTGGAATAGATGGTCAGTACCCTGCAAGATAAGTATGGTCATGTGAAAATATAGGCACTTACCTTGGATATACGCTTGATGCTGCCCATTGTGGTGGTCAGTTGTGGATTTGGCGGGGCGATAAGAAGAGCGGGGAGAAGCAGGATGCAGGGAGACGCGCGAGTGGAAGATGCGCTTGAAGGGGTCGAAGCAACGAATAAATAGAGATTTATTGAGCGATATGAAAAAGACGTTAGGTGCGAAAAAAATGCTAGGAGAATAAAGGGGTTGTTTCGGCGAAGCTAGAAGCTCCGAGTGGGGTGCGCCGGCAAAAGACGTCAGTGGAGAAGTTTGATATGTCCCGCCGCTCTATTGATGTACATCATGACAATGAACACTATAATTGATACTTCAGTACATATATGTATCCATTGATGCTCCCTGCTGTAATATTTAATTCATGTGGTTCCTTTTCTACCATTACCCAATGTATATTTGAGCCAATTACTCTCTTTGAATCATCACCATCAGTCCCATCAGTCCAAGCATCACTGTTTTGAGCCAGGGGTGCTCGCTGAGCATGATAGTAACGTATCCAACCATGGGGATGTAGCCACGAACACTGCCAACAATATCCTCCGCCCGGTCGAGATAATCCTGGTCTAAGCTTGTCAGTAACCTTCAAGTGGTCCCGCTTCAACTTTTTTCGTATCGCTTACCTTGAGCGTACAGCTCGGTATCGTCCGCAGAATTGTTGTCACCCTAACGAGCCGTTAGCAATTTCCTAGGCCGGTCAAATTGTTAGGCCACCTACCTTGGTGAGGAGCATATGCGTGTTAGGCGTTGTGTCCCTAGAACTTCGTTAGCACAAAGGCAGTCACAAGCAAAATTGCCAGACAATAGGCGAGGACATACACTGTAATTTCTTTCACCTTCTTTGCGCTCACACGTCCTTCTACCTCAGGGAAGGTACGAACAACCCTGTGGACAATCGGGATAGACTTTCCTCGCACATTATAAACGAGAACTTCTCCGATCTCCGCCCTCGTGTCTCGGTTCCAGAGAAAGAGCAGGTCACCACGCTGAAATGCGGGCTCCATTGATCCTGTGGAGAGGGAATGTGAGCTGTGTTCAGACCGCCGTGAAATAGCTTTGTTTACCGGATAGGACCACAACTATTGGAGAGCTTGATGCGGATACGACCGAGAGGCCTTTCCACAGCATAAAAGCCGTGGAAAGAACCAGCGCAAAGTTCAGGACTTGTGCAATTGATTGCCGAGAATTTGTGATGCTGGAGGAGAGGGAGGATAGCATGGTGGGCGGTTCGCGATCAACGGATAGACGGCAGGGTTAGGGTAGGTCGCGCTAATAGTGACTGTTCTTGGTCAGGAATACTTCTGGGCGGTTTTTTTTTTATCTCGCGGAACGGTAGATGAAGACGATACCTATTATTTTCAGCTAACTTGGCTGGTTAGGTTGTGTTTTGATAGAGCTAGAGGGTGCGGAGAGGTGGCCTCGTCGGAGATCGCCTTGGCGCAGATCCACTGGCTTTCCGCCTTGTAGGTATAACCACTACAACCACCCTGTATATTGTAATACCACATGGGAGTTCATATATCGAATTTTAGCTGGTGTAGGAATTGAGACCTCCTCTAATCAAGCATATTATAGGAGCTACTTCTGTATCTGATAAATTGTCCGAACACCCTTGGACTCCTTTCGGTTGCAACAAAGAGCTTATTGGATTTGGGACTTTTGCACGTGTGGGAGAATGTACTACCCTGCAGATAGATGTGCTTAGGTACAATACCAAGTTAAGCTGACCAGATCAGAGCAAGTTTGGGACAAGTGTGCTCTCTTCAGAGCTCTTTGTGGGTCGATGGATACACTGAAAAGCTTGGTAACTACAAGGTTAGTACTATGCTGAAATGTTGTAATATCCTACTGAAAGCTCCATGGCTATTGGCTTGCTTAGTGTGGACGCTACTTGTACGCTATATCCGTTTCAGTGTATACCCACGTGTATACATCTAATGATATTCAAAATGTGCCTGTTTCTTAGGCTCTATAGCCTTAACTTCCTTGTTTACTAAAATATAGCGTTTGTTATGTTAGAATCTAAGCAAAAACATACAAATCATAAGCTCTCTCGCGGGCTATACAAAGGAGGGTCATGTTCCGTCTCCCCGGACGGCCCTGGACATCATTGATCAAAGCCTGTTCCTTTTTCTGAATCATGGTCATAGCTCGCTTGTTATTCATGAAAGGCAACAGTTACATAACCAGAAATCATAAACAGGTCTTTGTTTTACTCTTTGATTCTAACTATCCCCAGGATTTCAACTTTAAGGTGCGCGGAGCTATCGTCATGAGGAATGTTGAAATGGCTATCCCTGGAACTTAAGTCACTAGACTATGTCTCATGGCTAAAATTGTGGTCATTCTTCGCCCTATATAACAGCCAATTAGATATGTAGTAGTATTGTTCGCGCTATAGACTTGATTTCAAAACATGAAGCTAGACATACTATCTACCACGCTTCAGCTAACTCAAGCTATCAGCGGATGGGAATTTGGTAGATTATAGGCAAAATTCCTGAGGTAATTTAACGTGGCCAACATATATATATTTATCGGACTGAGCCCTAAAGACTCCATTGTGTAGATCGCAAGGGGTGGTGCCCATTCCTCGGGGCAAGGTTTACATAAAATGTCCGGGCAGGAACATTTGCGAAGATGATAAAAGCTCGAAGCCCACTCCAGAGATCAGTTTCATCCAATATTGATGTATTGTGGATAAAGTGACTCAGTCAAACATCTTTTATGATTATTTCTATATGATTTGTTCCACGGTTGCCCAACATGCAATCTATCTCCTCAGAATCGACCTTACCGACAGGGGATCCCGAAACTTCACCCATTGAGCTCTTACATGACCATTTTCTTGAGCTTACCCCAGATGGGAAATATGTGCGATGGTTGCGAGATCACCCAAGACATCCTCGAAATTGGTCTAGCCTACGAAAGACTTACGATACTGCCCTTATCTGTCTCTTGGATCTTTTCATGTGTGTCCAGACCAAATCCCAACGTTCTTTGGTCAATAGACTAACAATATTTGCAGAACAGCATCCAGCACAGCAGGTGTGAGTGTATACCGCTATTCATGACCTACAATATTGCCGACCTAATACTCTAGTTCTTTCTAGTCGGCTGCTGCTGCTCAAGCCAAACATGAATACAATATCAGTGAAACGCTTTCTATTTTTATATTTGTCACATTGTATGATCGGCTGGTCTTGGTCTACTTTACATGTCTGACATTGAACAGATTTCTTCTCGCCCAGGTGGTAGGCACTATCTTATTTCCACCATGGTCGGAGACATTTGGGCGCAAGAATATATACATTGTGAGCAGTGGGCTCAGCGCCATTTGCTGTATGATCATCGGTCTCGTGCGTTCAATGCCAGTTATTATCGTCATGCGTATCCTTGCCGGGCTTCTTTCCGCGATCCCTTTTACCATAATCGGCGGCAGCATCGAGGACATGTTCAACTTGCATGCTCGAATTTGGACCATGTATTGTTGGACAGTTGCTTCGAACATTGGACTAATCCTTGGACCCATCATGAGCAGCTATATTATTGCGAGTCTTGATTGGTATGTAACCCTCAACTACGTTCTATATAAATTTCTCACATTTACCCAGGCGATGGAACTTCTATATCTTCGCCATCATTGTTGCTGCAATTACAGGTGGCCTCTTCTTCATTCGAGAATCTCGACCTTCCTTGTTGCTTGCCTACGAGGTGCAACGGGTCACCGATACGACTACTATGCACTCAATTCCACCGCCACTCAACCACGATTATATCCCTGATTTCAATACATTTGTCAAAGAAGCCCTCTTTCGCCCAGCCCAGCTCTTCTTCCAAGAGCCCATCATTTTCGTTGTTGCAATGATGATCTCCATCGCCATGTCCCTCATCTACATCTTCACGGAAGCCCTCCAACCCATCTACGAGTCAATGGGATTTGCAAAAACCGACGCTTCACTGATGTTCATCGCTATCGGCCTGGGAATTTGTCTCAGCGCATTGACTCGCGTGCTAGACAGCTACATTATCAACTATTTCCGCAGACAGGGACGCCCTATCAAACCAGAATACAAGCTCATCGGACTTGGCCTTGGTGGCCCATTCCTAGCGATTGGTCTATGGTGGTTTGCCTGGACTATTCCACCCGAGACCCAAACTCCGTGGATTGTGCCCACAATTTCCCTAGTTCTGGTGGGGTATGCGCTAACGGAAATGGATACCGTGCTGTATGGGTATATCTCTGATGCTTATCTGAGTTACTCGGCCAGTGCCACCGCTGCTATTGCATTCATGCGAGGGCTGTTATCGGGTGTCTTTCCACTGTTTACGAGGCAGATGTTTGATCGGCTAGGAAATAATGTTGCTATGTCTGTGCTTGCTGCTGTGGCAACTGCGTTTTGTATAGTACCGCCTGTATTTATCTGTTATGGGGAGCGAATTCGTCGGGCGAGCAAGTTTGCTCGGTATAGTTGGGAAATCCAGGAGGAGCAGGGTAAAGAAAAAGAAGATTGGTGAGCTAGGTGCTTTGATTTGTTTGATATATATATCTGCGATTTTCAAGTGAATGCATATTCCACAAAGTATACGAGATCCAAATTATACGAGGGCAAGATAAACAAAAGGTAAGAACCCGAGTGATAATCTAAACATCGAAGAAAGAAAGAGATATACCCACACAAAATGAACTCATACGGATTGGGTGGTTTTAGTAGTGGTGTCCTCTCTCCGAGTCGAACTAGCTTTCCAATACTTCTCTTTCTTGCCTCGGCTAACAATCAGTCCGTAGATATCAAATGGATCGGCAATGGTCTGGAGCAAATGACGGGAATCGTCGTAGCCAGGGCCCTCAATCTCCGTGACACCATCTTCAGCGAGATAAATCTTGTTTGATCGCGGAAGCCAGTGCATGGGATGAAAGACATTCAGCAAAGTAGTATTGCTGTACATGAACACAACCTCAAAGAACCAGAAGAACCATTCTTGTTTCAACACAGGGCTGATATTCTCGAGGTCAGTGTAGGCATTCAGGCTCGCGGCACTAAAGTATTCCACAGTGCGATAGATGGTGCGGATCGTTATGAAGGTACAGCTGCAGTATAACACCAGTAGGGCATGCTTGATCTTGTGGTTCAATACGCCGCCTCGGGAGCAGTTGAAGTGGAATCGGCCGGCCAAGCCCACAAAGCCTATCATTAGAGCGATCTGCATGATAAGCGCCGCCTTCAGCATTGCCTTGCCGGCGTTTTGCGAGTCGACATTAGAGTCTGCACTTGCGATTCGGGCCGCTCCGTTCGCGGTAATGATCTCAATGGTCACACCCAATGCGACGAAGGTTGTAGGTACGCGGCCAGGGTGGATGGGGGAGTGGTACGGGATGTAGTAGAGTATGCGACCCAAAATGAAGAAATTGGCACCCTCATATACTGGTCTAGAATAATTGAAGATTGGTTGTCAGTAGTCTATCTCGTGATGGGATGAGTATTCCTTACGGTCCGACGAGGAGAAGCACGGTGCTTGCGATATAGATGCCTATATTTTCCCACTGCCCAAACGCTCCAATAGTTCTCATGATAAAACCTGCAGTGAACAGAATGGCAGACCAAGGAAGCAGGCCGGTGACTTTCCAGGAATTATATTTGCTGGGACACCTAGTTAATATGAGGGTTCATAGTTGGAAGGGGTCACATACAAGCATTGATATCCATGGACGCCGCCAGATATAGCGAAAAGAATCGCAAAAGCAATTGCAGCGCCTTTGTTCGGTGCATAAAACCACAAGCTTCCCTCCTCTTTGTTTTGTCAGATAAACTATTAATCACGATTGACTTGGTAGGCGACTTACGATATGATGACCTTGCCTCGAGCATGGTTGTTGTAGATCCACCGAGTATAAATTTCTTAGTGCGAGGAATCGAGCTTATGTAAAAACACGGTGTAGTTGATGTGATGGCAAGTTGGATAGTATGAGTACTTTGCTTAAATCAATTGAGTAGGTTAACGGACGTTAGAGGGAGATATATATATACAAAATTTGGGCGGTGCTTTTCGTTTTCGTGAGGAACTAGTTTGACGCCCCAGTCCCTTATGACATAGGTAGTGTTCACTTTCGGTAATTTCGTATTTTCCTCTAACTTCCAACGCCTCACGGTCTCCCTATTTCGGCTGCATGGTTCTTCGATTTGCTTAGATCCACAAATAATAGTGATAGTGGATCGACGCTAAGGTCTAAACTGACCTCGTATTTGCCTTCGCCCTCTGCTGACCCGCTCCTAATACGACCTCAGGAATCTCACTGCCACAGATCCTTGACTTTTGATTCGCCAACCTTCTTATCACGCTAATCCAATCTGAGTAACTCGTTTTCGCTTCCAAGGTTGCTTTAAGTGTATAGGCCATCCCTACACACACACACACACACACATACAACAAGTTTTGGACCAGGTGTGAAAAGCTCGTGGCAAATGATGTGCAACCCCTTTCTTTTCCTTTCTTCTAATACGAGGGTATAGCCGGCGGGAAAGATCGAGGAACAGATACCTGATCCCCATAGAATCCGCTTGGAGAAAATATCGTGTCTTCGATGTAGTGTGATAGTATACGTTCGTACTGAGTAATCAGCATCAACCATATATAGGTATAATTGGTTCTAGCCCTATAGGATGGTATAGTAAACATTAACCTACAGGTGCATACTCATTCACTCTTTTCCTATACACCACTATCTAGTTATATACTTGCACGTGATGTGATTGTTGTCAAGGCAACCGATAGCCCAAAGCGGTAAGCGCAATGTTGATCTGTGGATGTTCTGGACTTTCCAAGTTTGACGACTCACCGTATTCCCCCCACAACTTCAAAAGGTTCAACGTCGCCGGCTATCGTGTTGTCTAGATATCCAAAATGCCGCCCAAACAGCCCCAAACATCGCTGTTTCAAGTTTATCTCCGGTTACGGCCCCCGATGGCCACAAAGCCCAATGAATCGGACCGTTTTTTGAATGTTGAGCCGCCAGAGGCTTCGCAGGAGGAAACAGAGATCGTCCCGCCGGGATCAACACATGTTACTCTTCAACCACCAAATGATACAAGAAAGCGCGCTATCGAGAGGTTTGGTTTCACAAAGGTCTTCGAGGAGGTTGCCTCGCAACTAGATGTCTTTCATGACACTGGAATGGAGCCCATCATACGCGGAGTGCTGAAAGAGAACCGAGATGGACTAGTCGCTACCCTGGGAGTCACAGGTAGCGGAAAGGTCTGGTCCCGAATACTGTAGTACCACGATAACCAAGCTAATAGGTTGGTCATATGCAGAGCCACACCATTCTAGGATCCAAGACTGAACGAGGAATGACCCAAATGGCACTTGACGTTATCTTCCGCTCCCTAGAGCCCACAATCAAGACCGAGGATGGTAGCATTACCCCCGTAATGCTTACCTCGCTGGCTGCCGCAGACGCTTCTGAAGCCCAATTGTTCTCCGCACAGACATTTTTGGAAGCCGTATATGGCGAGCCAACTGGACGTACGTCGAGAGCGCAAACACCCATGAGCCCATCTCGTGCCAATACTCCTTTAATGGTACGAAGCCCCTTTACCTTGAACTCCCCCCATGGATCCCCAACCCCGCGAGAGCGCACCCCTGGATCGCTTCTCCCAAGGCTGAGATCTAAACCTGGAAGCCCCTGTAAGGTGGATTTGTCTTCTGTGCCCGGTCCCAATGACGCAGCTCGAGCTGGCTTTGACCATGTCTCGACTGAGCCCTCTGGATGGATCACCCCTGGATATTCCAATCCCATCCCCTTCAGCCACTCCAATCTATTTGAGCCCAAATCAGCTAAATCTCGACTTTACGTCTTTAAGGAACCAACCCCTGCCTTGAACTTCCCCCGCCGTCACATACGTGAACGACCATGCGCCCTTCCTAGGCTGCCCGATATGAGCCACCTTACTGTGGACATGGATTCAAATGCCGACTATGTCGTTCTGGTGTCAATGTATGAGGTATACAATGACCGGATTTTCGATCTTCTATCTCCCTCTATCGTCTCGGGTCAAGGCACAATGTCCCGTGGCAATAATCAAAAAGATCGACGACGTCCCTTGCTCTTCAAGCCTACCGAGGGCTCACCAGATCGAAAACTGGTTGCCGGGCTACGCAAAATTGCTTGTAGTAGCTATGAGGAAGCATTGGCCATTTTGGATGTTGGCTTAACCGAACGCAAGGTAACTGGTACTGGAATGAATAGCGTTAGCTCTCGAAGTCATGGCTTCTTTTCCCTGGAAGTCAAGAAGCGGACATACTCAAAGCGAACCGGTGAATACAACTGGGCCGGAAACGCCCTCACTGTTGTGGATCTTGCTGGTAAGTAAGTTACATTCTTACTGTTAAGGCAGCTACTAATTAGCTAGGCTCCGAGCGCGCGAGGACGGCAAAGACAGCTGGTGCCACACTCGCTGAGGCTGGTAAAATCAACGAAAGCTTGATGTACCTCGGCCAATGCCTGCAGATGCAAAGCAACATACAGGATGGAATGAAGGTATGTGTTCTACTCATCGCCGATGTGCTTCTTTTGGCGGCTGCTAATTTACAAAGACTACTCTCGTTCCTTACCGGCAGTGCAAATTGACCGAGCTTCTATTTTCAAATTCATTCCCAACGTCTCATCAGATGTCCAGAGGCCAATATCCCCAAAAGGGTATCATGATTGTCACCGCTGACCCTCTGGGTGATTTCAACGCCACCTCCCAAATTTTGCGTTACTCTGCATTAGCTCGTGAGGTCACCGTTCCTAGAGTTCCCTCGGTCTGCGAATCTATTTTGTCTGTCGCTTCTGGTAGTCACCGCTCAGTTAGTGGCTGCACTTCGCCAAATTTTGATTCAACCGAAGAGCTCGAAAGAGCTACTGCTGAGATTAAACGCCTCACGCGCGATTGTCACGGCCTTGCTCTCAAGCTAGCCGAAGAAGAGATTGCACGGGCCGATGTTGAAATGAGACTGAGAGCTGCTGAAGAAAGATGTCTCATGATCGAGCAGGATGTGCGAGAAGAATGCTGGGCAGAGATGGACGAGAAAACGGAAGAAGAAAGGCGACGCTGGCAGAGGGCATGGGATGAGCAGGTTTGTAATCCCAGCCCAGCTCAAAATTTGTCACACGCTAATAGTTTCCAGCTCGGTCGCAATGATGAGCACATTGACAAGAAGGTTGAGCTTGTATCCCGTGGATTCCAAAGTAAGTTGGCCCATGAGGAGCGAAATATAGGAACTCTTGAACTGACCTTTATCTCTAGTCTTTGAAGACTCGGGGTCAAACGAACGAGTGGAGGAGCTCGAGCAAGAAAATGACCAGCTCCGCCGCAAACTTGCCGCTCTTGAGCGTGAGATGCACAACCAATCGCCGACGAGAAAGCATAGAACAAAGAATGCCACGCCCGCGCGGTCTAATCTTCTTGGCCGCGAGAGCGATATTGAGAACGCGTTGCAACGCATGGATCAATTGAAGCTCGCAGATACCATGTTTGCTCCTCCATCGCCAGGAGCCTCGCCTATCAAGAAGACGAGGAAGATGGGAACCCGGAAATGGGACCTCGCCCCAGAGGACCAGATCTAAGCGGTTCTGTTTCCTCCACTACTCACTCCATCATGACTGTTACGACTTACTCTTCTTACGCTGCTTGAGATACTAAAGCTTTTAATACTTGGGTTTATCTTTTTTTTTTTTTGAGTTAATATGGAATGATATCCCTTGGCTATAAGGCGTTTGGGGGCAATCAATACTTTGTTTGATAATTGTTGATATTTCATTTCCCAATTGACAATGCCAGAATTGGATTTTGCGAATACGTATTGTACATGCTAGCTCGTAAGCCATTCAAGCCACCTGTTCCTTAACGCCATCCTGTAGTTTAAAAAGATCCCGTTTTGGAAGAACACCCCATGTGCTCCGTAAACTGAAAAAAAGAAAAAAGCAAGCAAGCAAGCCCCGTCCTTGGATGTATAGCAGATTTCTCAGGACTCAAGAGGGCGTAATTTCCATGGCATCTCGCTTATCAGCGACATTCTCAGTCTCAGTATCATTGGGAGACTGGTCGGCAGTGGGCACATCTTTCTCCTCTTTGTCTTCTTCCTCCAACTTTGTTTCCTCATCATGCATTTCCTCATCGTCGTCTCCCTCGCCCTCAGTCACACCATGATCACCATCACCATCACCCTCCCCTTCTTCGCCTTCATTCTCATGACCGCCCTCATCATCCTCACCATCATCCGCACCTTCATCACCAGTCCCCCCTTCCTCTGCATCAGTAACATGAGGGAAAAGCGCTGAGGTCCCCTCGTCACCTAGCTTTGTGTCCTCGTTCTCGCTCAGCTCAGTCTCGTCAGCAGTGTCATGCTCATCTCTTTGCTCAACCGAGCCATCACCAGTGGCGGAAACCTGTTTGGTTGAACCACGAGGCGCAGAACTTGGCCCCGCAATAGTCGACCCAACGCCCTGCGGAGTCGCAGGTGGCTCTGTCTCGCCCGCGGCGGTTATTTTACTCGCCACGGCCCGAGGAGCCAGCTTCGTGTTCACGATTGTGTCGGCGCGTTTCTGGATGTCGCGGCGGGCGATGCCCTTTGTCCGGCCGCGGGGTGCTGGGGTATCAGATGCTGGGACAGCTGCTGGAGGGGTTGAGGCCTCGGGGGGAACCTCGCCAACCATGAGAAGGTGGTCGACTTTCATTTTTTCTTTATTTTCCTCGGTTGCCTGTTCGACTAGGTGGGGTGTGTTGATCTCGTACAGTCGGGCGTAGAGGTCCGCGATCAGGTCTTCAAACATGGTGATTTTCATCAGGTTGTTGTTCAGCTTCTTCACCTCCAGGGCGTCTCGAAGTAGTTCTAAGATGGCTTGGCTCTCTGGTCCCAGGTGGTGTAGGCTTTCCAAGCGAGCTGTCTTGGTAGAGAACTCTTCCCACCCGATTGGTTTGAATATGCTTTCTTCATGACCCTCGCTGATCTTGGCTGCACGGCGGATCATCTTTGCATAAGTTAGGCAAATATCTTCCCACAACTTGGTGTGGTTGAAGAAATCGCCTTGCTTCTTTCTCACACGGCGCAAAAGTTGATCTAAGCTTGCGCGATCGTCAAGTTGGTCAAGCAGGCCAACAAAGAAGTACACGTAGCGGGTCGTGTAAACGAAATGTCGACCGGGACGTTCAAATTCTGGCCGCCAGACTTGGATCGTAAGTGTCTTGGTGAATATTTGGGAAAGTTCCTGCCTGGCAGCAATCGCAGCGGTTGCGTTTTGCTGGTCATCGTAAATGACATGCGCAGCCTAGGGGTTGTAAGCAATACGAATAAAAATAAAATCAAGCTGCGGGTCATATACCTTTACACCCATGCGATGATGCCAGTTGGACTTATCAGCGCTCTTGTACTTCCGAAGGACTTCAAGTATGTATGGGTTCCATCCCTCCATATTCTCGGGAGGCTCGATCTTACGGGCCCATGGGGTTGCAAGGAGGGTCTTGCTTCCTTCCGCGGGCTGATGTTGTTATCAGAATGAGCTCTTCGTATCAGGAGTGATAAAACTTACCGTTATGTTTCCTCGAAGAACAAGCTTGTGTACAAAAGAGAAGAGTTTGAAATGTGGCTCAAAGATCGGATCAGAGCGTGAGTCTCTTCGCTGCGGAAGTGCAGCAATAGCATCGAGAACAGCATTTATCACCTCTTGCATTTCGACTTTTTTGGAAGTAGTTCTCAAAGAATCATCACTGGTAAACATTTTCCAAAGACACTTCCCAAGCGTGTAGTGAGTCCTATTAATATAATTTGTTAGTACTCCTTCAAATGTCCAAATTAAGTCAAGTCACATTGGAATCACTTACATCCATCGCTTAGACTTGTCGACAGCTGCCCGTTTAAGAAGGTTGCTAGCAAAATTCCATGTCGAATAAGCGGTCATCTCCTTAAAAGGCGTTCCCTTATACATTTGCTGGCTCTCCTCGCTGCTGAAATGACGAGGGAAGTCTGCAACACTGAAAGCTCCCATGGATAGCGGCTCGCGAGAGGATGAGTACAGGCGGATACCAAAGTCTGAATAAAGATCTGACATCACATCTCTGGTCTCTGCCGTTGGCTCTGCAGTCCTCATTGCCGTTGAAACAGCCATGGCATAGCAATGAATAGCATTTCGCTGCAGTGCGGCCAGCTCCGAGCGGTTGTTATTGATCTTATCAGCTGTCCATGTAATGTCTTCATCAAGCTTTGAGTCATATGTTTGGGCGAGCCTATACCAGGTTTCCCATCTCCCTGTTCCATGATCCAAATCTTGTCTAAAGAACCCGATGGCGTCATCAAGCTCGCTTGTTGAACCAGGGCTGAGGCGCTTCTGAGAACGAAACTTGGTGAGTGCGGCATGGCCGAGAAGGAAGAACCACCCCTTCGAAGCGATCTTCGCATTCTCAGTCGGAACTATGGTTGTCGAAAGCTCTGTAATGCCCTGAACAGCTCGGAGTAAATTGGATGGGTTGAGTGGGGCTTTGAGATATGCATTCACAAGGCGACGATTGAAAGTTAACTGAGGTGTCTGTGAAGAAGCCTTAGCGGGGCCAATCGCTTGCTGCATCTTCTCAATCGTAGTCTTCAATTCGGACTTGGATAAGTCCTTCATGTTCATCTTGTTCGCTTGTTGCAGAACAAAGTCGATCATCATGATTGCTGTAGGGCGATCTAACTTCTCGGGAGGACATCCATGATCCACAGTCCCATCGAATGCAGAAAATCTGATACCGTGGAGATCGAGAAGTAGTTGACACACATCGAATTCATAATCGCCCTTGGTTTCGAGGCCGAAGAACTCCGCTTTCAGAAGCTTCAAGAATCTCTTTTGCGAATACCTGCACATCAATCGAACGCCCAATGCATTATGGACAGAACGAAGGAAATGAATACGGTCTTCAAGCGGATCATCGAAAAGCTCCTTGTTCTGGGCAATCGCTTCCATGAAGAGGGTGTATTGTAAGATCCAGCAGCGAACATATAGCTCTCGCATTCTTTCTTTCATGTTTTCTAGCGATTTCGCCAACGAGCCTCGGAAGTCGCGACCAGAAATCTGGCCTACTCGCACTGAGTCCTCGTAAAGGATAAAGCTGTGCAAAAGCCTCACGAGGCGGGCTATAGCAGACATTGAGGTCTGTAAATGGTCCATGTCGAAACAGTCGAATGCTTGTTCCGACTCTTCAAGAATAAGTAGTATAGCTTTGGCCACAATGCCATCGAGGGTTTTGAGCCAGCCCAACAGAGCTACTTGACGATGCTGGCTTGTTTCTTCGCTGTGTTTCGCTGCCTCAAGTTCTGCCATTACCACTTCAATGCTTCGCAAATAGCAAGAGACAACTTTAGGTGGATAGTCGATAGCTTGGTACGCCTCCTGGAGTCGGCGCCAAAGGAATAGTCGCAAGGTAGCATCTCCTCTATCGAGGAAGGCAGCCATTTCACCGAGATGTGAGGTAGGGTGGTTCATGTCATTCTCCGTTGGCATTTCAGCATACTCAATCGACGAGGGTTCAAGAATTGGCTCTATTGCTTCGATGAGAGTCACGGGATCCTCAGCGTCTGAGTTGAATACCTTGGCGAAAAAGTCCATGCACTTGAGCTTCAAGACCTCCTGGTCTATTACGGCAGCGGACAATTCTGACATAGTAGCATTGTTTATGAGATTGACACTTGGGTTGTCAAGGGTTTGAAGTATTTGCTTCAGATCTTGAAGACAGAGCAGGATATGTTCTCGCTGTGCGTCCCCGGCAAGACTGATATGGAATGCCGACGCCCACAAATGGCGCAGAGTGAGGTTTGATTGGGATTCGCCGGATGGACTGTGGTTGACGAAATGATCTATGGATGACCGGGATAGCATACCCCAGCGAGCCAGCCGATCACGCTGTGCGAGTCTTGTCCCCTGGTCTGTTTCACTGCCAAGACTCTCAACCGAAGCAAAGACATCCAAATGAAGTTCGTAGATAGTTTGTATCATCTCAAGTTCGAAGAAGTCTTTGGGCTTATATTCAAATGGAGCTCCATTGCTTGAGCTAAGAATTCGGGCTTCAAGATCGGCGATCAGTTCGCTGCACACCTGGTAGGTAAATTCATCTTCCCGAACCAAAAGTTCTACCACTGTCTTCTTCAGGTCCTTTGGCCACAGAAAGTTGGCGTAAGTTGACTTTCCTGTCGACCAGTTTGAAGACTCTTGGCCGAAATCCGGCATGAGAAGACATTTTAGCCATTCGAACGAAGTTTCATGGGGATGTAGCCAGTCAGAGTTGATGGCATTGGAAAAATTATAAAGTTGTTCCCCAGAAGGAAGCTCTTCTTCAACAACTGGCTTCCGGGCACCTTTTCTTGAGTGCTCAAGGAAAACAGCCAATCCTGACTTGCTCGTACCACGGATGTCCTTCAGCGGAGATAAATCGTCTTTCTGCTGCATCAATCGAGACTTTTCGTCATCCCATGTCTTGATGAGACCTCGGAAATCCTGAAACAATCGTGTCTCCACATCTTGGGGTGTATCGATTGAGTCATTCCCAGTGCACTTTCCTCTCAGAGCTTCAATGCTACCAAGAGCATCAATACCAAATTTCGAGAAGAGAGAGTCGACGGTACTGAACATCCAATCATCGGCATTGACAAAAACTTCAAGACGGTCTTCGTAGTACTTGTCTTGATCGAATGCAACTTCTTCAGGCGGTGCCAGAGCGTCAGCATTTGACTCCCGGGCTCGGGTCCGTCTGCTTTTCATGCGGCCGCCCTCCGGTTCTTCGTTCGCAGCTGACGCAGACGATCTTTTGCGAATGTCCACTGCAGAGTTCGTGTCAACTTCTTCTACATGAGTCCCATCTTGTTCGGTCGGTTTGTCTTGTGGCTGCGTCGATTGACGTTCCAACGACTCCATCAATTGCTTTTCAGCACTTTGATCGATGGACGATTGTTCCTCCCCTGGCTCAGAAGGTTCTTTTGTTGGCTGAGGTGAACTTTGCTCAGGCTTGCCATCATTTTCAGTTGTCTGAAGCATCACGCCGGCAACCTCATTACCATCCTTGTTTAAGTGCCCGTCGGTATCTATGGCCATGTCCATGTCCTCTGCATTTGCGATCGGTGTAGTTGGAGCTTGGGAGCTTCTGGCTGGTAATATAATGCCGATAGACCGAGTGGGAACGTCAGCGAGCGAGTCATGATCCTCATCGTCAAGTGCTTGGAGAAGCGCCTTGCCAACTGACTCCCAGGTTGGGTCAGCAGGGTTTATTTCTCGACGGGAAGTGTGCAGGGCAAGAGGGCCCTTTGACGGATTTAAGTAATGTAAATCGACGGGAAGGGCGGGCAGGTTCGGATACGGATCCTCATGCTGTTTGAGGTACTTCAATAAAGCTTTCTTTGGCCTCTGCGCCGGGATTTGCGAGGCAGATAACTTGTCAAAGAGGGACTGCAGCGTGCTTCGCAGGCGCTGCTCCGCAAATACCTCCTCTAGTCCAAGCTGCTCCGGCCGAAGTTCCAAGCGGTTGTCATCGTCCGCTAGTACACTTTCCAAGCAATACCGAGACAAGCGGTAGCTGTTTAAGGAACTGCTGAGTCTTGCGCTTTGCCTCCAGAGGTTGAGATCTGAGTCGTCACGTTCCAAAGCATCCCCGAAAGATCCCAAAGCTTTTCTAGATGCCTCCGTCAACTTCCTTTGTGTTTCCTGTTCGGATTCGGGGGTCTGTGGCGCTGTTCGTATGGAGTCTTGTACTGAATCGAGGACAAATTTGCCGTGGTTTTTATAGGACAGGTAGAGTGTTTGGAATAGACTGGAGGTAGAGTCGTTCACGTTGAACTCGGCGATTGATTCTGTAGCAATTTCGTCGTGCGCATCGTCGAATGCACCCCTTTTGAAATCGGAGATAGACTCTGGGTATTTGAAGATCTCTGAATTGAGAAGGGCTTCATAGGCTTCTGCAGCCTGGGAATAGTGCTCCGACCCTTGTGAATGCAGCTTCAAGGCACTGTAATAAAGCTTCAAAGCTTCCTCAATCTGAAGCTCCTTGGTGTCGTCAACTTCCTCTTCGACAGCCTCGTCGGGCTCAACATTCAATGCGACCCAGCTCGACATGGTGTGAGCTCCACGTAGGTCCCTCAAATATTAGATGGAAAAGAGAAATCAGGCGACAGCATCGGGTAACCGAGACCCTAGATGCGGGCAACAATAATGAGCAAATCAATTGGTTATCGCGGACAGACACGTTATCACGCGTTTGCACCTAATCGGGGAAAGTGTTTGGTGCCTGTGTGCCTGGATGCCTTGTGGCCTTGTAGCCTTGTAGCCTTGAGCCCTTTCCTGGGGGCAGTACTAGTTAACAGTTGGAGTATTCTTAGATCACTCTTCACTTTCCCCTCAGCGCAACCCCTGAAACGTCTTACGATTCACGCAGAATTCACTAATTAAGATATCCTCATCTTTTATTCCACCGCGCTTGTGCAGGCGCCATGGTCGCGCCCGCTGTCCCTGAGTATGTGCTCCTATCCCCGTTTACGTGTTCCCCGGTTTGCGGGTTGTGTATGCATGGCCAATTGTTCGAGATTGTCAAGGATTGCCACTACGACAATTACAGGAGTTGTGACTGACATTGAGGGCATTATTTAGGATTCACGAGGAGGAGGATATCTATGTTGCGGTCGATGCGCGAACGGAGTCCTTGCAGAGCTTGCGAGAACTAGGCCCTCCAGACCTGGTCTATTTGGTCAAGCAGCCTAAGGCCAATTCGACTCGCCAGGTAAGATATAAGATACCAACTTTCCTTCCATGATATGATCTCCCATGTGTGAAAAATTGATTGATTTTCTAACTATCACAGACCGGAGTTTATCATCATGTCACCGGAATCGATGCCTCCTCGTCTGCTAGCCTAGCCGCCTATGTTAATACCCTCACATTCTCTCCCCTCGACAAGACACATAAAGTGGTGTCGGGGATCTACTGGTTAGAATCTAATCATTGTACGGAGTTTATTTCTCATGCTGATGTCTATACAGTTGTTACAATGCATTCTCCCATCTCGATATGCGCGTCGAAGTTAAAATTCCCGGAAGTTTGGAGAGCTACTGCATTGATGAGCGGGGTGACAAGCGGGTTGCCACCGAGGCTCTTTGGCTTGAGACCTTCCTTTGCGCCGTTCTGAGGGCTTATCTTTATGCGGACGATGGAAGTGGAGATTCAGTCAAGAGGATTGTTGGAGTCAGACGATTCAACCCCGTGACAAACACAGAGATGGAGCACAAATTCTTGGATGCTGCCGAGAAGCTTTTCTTTTTGGGTATGGATCTCAAATCAATTGGTCTGTTGTGTCCCTGACTGACAATATTTTAGGACGCCAACTGAGTTCTGACCCCGAAACCCAAGTCCCTAACACTGTGAGCAACCACCTCACATCCGGAATCCTCAAATACATCCACACGACTGGCCGTTATACCTCCGGAATCAACCTGTTTGAGAAGCTCCGCACAAAGGATGTGGAGGTTTCGTCCCTCCTAGCTCGTGTACAAATTATGGCAGATGAGGAGGTACAAGCGGTTCGCCTCATGTACGACGCTTTACAAGATGTTCCGATGGACTATGCTCTACTTGATTGCCAGGCTAGTTTCTGTCAAAGCAAAGGTGAAAGTGAGATGGCACTTGAGTGCGCTAAGCGTGCAGTTACTGCAGCCCCGAGCGAATTCAGTACATGGGCTCGCCTGGCAGAGGTATATGTCAGTATGGAACGCTGGGACTTGGCGCTTCTGACTCTCAACTCTTGCCCCATGTTCACCTATCAAGACAAAGATACCCCTCGCATGCCACAACCGTCACGCATCATGCTCCCAATTCTTGCTGAAAGTATTCTCGATGAAATCGACGAAGGCCAGCCAAAGCAGGGAGACCCTCACGACTATGTCCACCCTTCGCTTCGAAAAATCCATGCTGCTAGTTACCAAGGTACTTTCTTAAAGGCCTACAATCTTCTGACCAAAATCGCCGCCGCCATTGGATGGGACCAGCTACTCAAGGCTCGTAGCCAGGTTTTCGTGATGGAAGAAGAGTACCGCGTTGAGCGGCAGCACGTTCCTAAGCCCGCGACATCATCGAAGGCGGAGACCAATGGCAATAGCCCCGGCAACGAAGAAGAATCTGGCTCTGTGGCTGGCGCTGACGCGACCGAGCTGTCTTCGGAAGAGACTACCAATGGACATACGGGAGACAGCCACCCTGAAAGCCCCCTCGAGCGACCGGAGCAAACAGTGGCATCAGAAATTGTCAAGTCTGGCAAGGAAGATGTATGTTACACACCCATCGAGGATGTATTTTTTACATATGCTAACTGTTCATGTCACAGCCCGACCCATCTCACGCCGCATATACGCAATTCCGAAACAAGCGACTGTGTGAAAGGTGGCTAGATAACTTGTTTATGGTACTTTACGAGGATCTGCGTATCTACACCATTTGGCGGACCGAAATGGCCCAGTTTCGTCAACAAGCCATGGAATACAAGAAGTCTGCTACCGAGTGGGAAATTCTTGGTGAGCTTGCGCAGAGACTGCACCATTTCGACGAAAGCATTGAGGCATACCAGAGCTGTCTAGCCACTCGGTTCTCGCCCAAGGCTATGCGTGGGGTGTTGAAATTGTACGAACAACGAAATGACACCAGAGGCATGCTTGGCGCATTGATCCGCCTCATCGCCTGGCAATATCGTTGGTACTCCGAGGTATGCTCCTTTCCCTGGATAATATCGCTTTGACCACTGTAACTAACAAACCGTCAGTTCTCCCCCGAGCTTTTGTTCCTGGTTCGCAAGCTCATTGAGGACGAGGGTGCTGTTAAGGTCCGCAGCATTGTCCAAGCGACCAACTTGCCTCAAGCCGTCCTCGATCTCACACACCAGTACTGTCAACTATGTGCCACCTTCCGCAGCAGTGGTAGCGACACTTAAATATGTTGGCGACGACCAGACACAAATTGAGTTGGAAGACAGTTTTATGTCTTCCCCTGGATATCAAGATAGAAAGCGGGGCGCATGCAGGGCTAATGACCATCCTTGATTCATGACACCTCTTTTATTTTTATTTTCACTTCCTCTTGGTCCAATTATTAGGTAGTTTTCTTAGATGGTATATATTTTCATTTCTATGTTCCGTATCTGGTCATGTGCCTCATTCAAATAGGTGGATCTCATACGAACGACGGGGTAGTAATTTGGGGTTTGTATCCATTTGGGCGCATTGGGAACCCACTGGAGTGGAGAGGAACATAGGATTCAGCCAGTAGATGCGCTTCAACGGCGATTTCTATGCACGTCATCGCCAAGTTCCCAGAATACACCGAGGATTGGCTACTTCCATGAACTAGCTTGATGTCCCTGGATCTATATAGATCAGAGCTCACTTCCAAGGTTCCAAATCACAGCACTACATCTACATTCATAGCACCTCTGATTGTATACAGGAGGTTATCACAGCAAAGCAATCGAATGACCCCAAGCGAATTCCATTTTAGTTCTGCATGAAATTCTTGCTTCGAAGAAACTAAATCCTCGATCGCAAAATCACTTCTCTTCCTCAGCCGCTTCAATCTCAGGTAGATCCGACTCCTTAGGAACAACACCGCCCTTATCCTCAGCAGCAGCAGTAGCAGGTCCGCTCTCGGTAGCGGTATCTGCGGCGCTCTCTTCCACGTCTTCCCCCTCATCGGGCTCGTCGTCTTCTTCTTCTTCTTCGCCGTTTGCGCCGTTCTCGGCCTCGTCGTCATCGACAACAACGGGTGCAGTCTTCTGCTTCTTGGCTGCCGGGGCGCCTGGAGAAGGGGCACGTGTGTTAGTATGTGCGAGTTTGAGGACGAAGCGGATATCCATAAAGGTCCAGGGGTTAAAACGTACCTTCGTCTTTGTCTTTGGCTTCGGGTTTTGCTTCTGCTTCTGCTTCTGCTTCGTCTCCTTCCTCCTCTTCGTCAGACTCAGACTCTCCCTCCACCTCCTCCTGTTCGCCCTCGTCGCTTCCTTCCTCTACTTCGGGCTCGGAGTCTTCATATCTAAATCACCGCGCGATCGGGTTAGCAAAGACCAATTATATTTCAAAGGGTTCGCGCGATATTGTTTCAATTCAGAGCGGTTTCGAGATGGTGTCAAGGTGGACGCACAGCTAGTATAGCCGTGCAAAATTGCAGTGGGATGATGGGCAGGGCATTGGCGCGAGAATGGGGTGGAAGGGAGAATTGACAATGGGGTGGAACAAACTCACTCTTCCTCCTCTTCGCTCTCATCGCTAGGAAGGGCCTGGAGCTCCTCCTCAGCCTCTTGCTTTCTTTTGCGGGTAGTCATAGTAAAAGAATTAAGGGATTAAGGGGTTGGTAAGATTTTAACTAAGTATAGAGGGAAGGGAAGGGTGAATTTATGGGAAAGAGAGAGAAGGTTCTGGATTGGCAAAAGTCCCGAGTCTAGGGGGAGGACGGGAATTATAGAGGAAATTAGACGCTTTAAGAAGAGGGAAGGGGGAAACCCCCAAGGGCATAAGCGGGAGGTGACGGTGACGACATGGGAGTGACAATGACCTTAGGGTTGAGGTCCTCGGGTGATAGCTTACACCGCGGGTGGAGTCCGGGTGCGTGGTCTATGACTCAAGGGTGCGTGTCCCCGATTATCGTTTACATTCCGTGCCCATCATGGTATTCAAAATGTTTCAACTCTTGTGGTATCCTCGATATTCCAGGTTTGGGTCGATTGTCGATTCATGCCTCTCTTGTGGGATATTTATGGTCATTGCGTTAGAAACTCAAAATCTGCCATACTCGGATCTAGCAGATTCTCGTCCAGACCAAATCCGTATGTGCCAACCATGCCATAGATCAAATCTGGCGGGGGGAATCCCTGTGCCATGGCATTGGCTCCTCCAGGGACCTCGCGACCTTCCGCCGTAGTATCATTGTTTCCTTGGAATCGCCAAGAAGCCTCCCAAGAGTCAAAGCGCTCGAGCATCTTGCCTAATCCACGTGCGATATGTCGAGTAAGATGTCGCTCGCCTGCAGAGACACAATTCATCAATTCAATTACACGCTCAACTATCCGTCGCACTTGGCGAGCGTTGATGCTAAGGTAAGCGGTGTTCCAATTGATTGCGACCTTGAGTAAGAAAACGGCGGAGAATGTAACCATAGTGTGCGTGAAAATCGGAACGCCGACGATCGCATCTCGAATATCAGGCTCCTCGAGAACCATATTGAGACATGCCATCGCCGAGGAAATTGCGATGTTGGCCGATTCCTTACGGTCCATAGAGAAGACAGGTGTGTTGGATGGTGAAAGTGCACGAAGAGAAAGCGAATTCAACTGGAACTTTGCAAAATGGTAGTGCAGAACCACCCCTTTGGACGGATAAGTTCGCACATAGGCGCTATCGGCTGTAATGCGTTCCAGGTTATGTTAGAACCGAGAGTTGCGGAGACTTAGGTCGGCAAATCACTCACCAGATCGAGGCTGCCAGAGAAGTCGCCATTGGTCTACTGCAACATTGTATACGCGCAACTGACCAAAATCCTCTTCGGTCAATGCTTGTTCAGTGTCGCTACCAAACATTCGATATGCCTCGGTCAAGATCATAAAGAGAGCAACCTGAGCTAAAAGTCGAATGTCTCCGGGGACGACCATCGGCAGCGCGAGGAAGGTCTCATAGTTACGAATCACCACATCCTCGTGGATGACAGGTGGTCGCCCATAAGCAATACTGAAGTGGTGGTCGCAGACATAAAGCAGATACCAGAGCTGGGCGCGTTCATACTGATCCGTGTGTCCACGGGTCAGGCGCTGATAACTTTGGTGGAGGCCCATCTCGGTCGCAATTCGTACCGCATGTCCGGACAACTTCCAACTTAATTCTGATAGCCAGAATGCCCCCACGCAGAGGCCTCGGATATCATCCAGAGTGTGAGCCCGGGTGAGGGCCATGTTGGACACGAGTGATACATACTCGCTGTAGCACCGGTTCAAGGTTTCGGTGCGGTTCGGGATGTGGAGTGCTGCGACAGTCAAGACCGCAACAGAAAGAAGCGTCGATGCGCGGCGGACGGACGTTAAATCGCGGTGTACAAGAATTATTCCACCCCACAGTAGCTGGTTCATAGTGCGACTGAAGTACGCGAATAATTCCTCCGCTTCATGGAGGGATATCAGTCGTCGCGAGATAAAATCCTCCTCTAGCAACGTCTGTTTCGGTGCCTCGACATGATTGTTTCTCAGGTTCCGTAATTTAGTGACCTCGTATAGACTGCGCATAGGAGCATGGACCAAATCTGGGTCTTGGAGATCCTGCTCCGGCGACGGCTCCCGGGTAACATCCATCACGACTCCCAATCCCTCCTGGTGACTGGTTTGTGTCTGCGACCGATCGACGGACGGATGATGGCCATGATACGATTCGGCAGGACTGGGGCCATTGAGAGTGTCCCCAGGAGCATAGGTTGAGAGCTCAGGTAGTCCGCCTTGTCGTAATAGATGCGAAACAGCTGCCTGCAGCTGGTGCATAGTCGCATTAGCCTGTGATTTCCATCTATACCAAAGCCATTGGATTAGCATAGCCCCTGATAGCTCCAAAACTCACCAATCAGCCGGGGCGGGGTCGCACGTACATCCCATCATCATCGACGAATTTCTGTGAAAAGTCGTTTACGACACACTTGATACCGCTACGGGTACATTTTGTACAAGTTGTTTCTCCTGTTCGAAACTCGCAGCGAATCTTATGGCGCTTGCATTCTGCGCCTGCTCCCCGTTAATTGGGGGGGATGTCGGAGATGGTGTGGGGAAGACTCACATGCACGAGCTTTGGAGATTTTGGGGACAGAACGTGTCTTGTTTTCTCGGGGTGAATCCAGCCCAGCGTCATCAGGGGACCGCTTCAGTGGAGCAGTGGTATCCATGATGTGATGCTAGTCTAGCTGAATGGTGTTGGAGGAGTCGGTGATACTCCGGCATGCGGGTTAGGGGGCGAAGTCTTCGGAGTGGGGAAGCGTCGGAGTAAAGCGAAGGACACGAGTACGCCGAGAAAGAGATAAATTGCAATTATATTTCAAGAGGGATGTTATGGTCAATGAGGGCACATGCACGGAGTATTGTCAAGAGAAAGGAAGAGAAAGTAAAGTTGTGTGACTTGGACCCCCCGCAAACTCAACCCCGAAATCCACATCTTGACACTGTTCTATACAAATGCTGTCGGTTTTCAATATTATGAGTTTGATAAATCTAAATTCAGTATACTCCATGAATACAGGACAGTATATCCTATGTTTTTATACCTTTGGCTTCAACAGGTCACTCACAGTAGGACCGTGGACAATCGAGGTTCGAGGGCATTCCCCCAGATTCAAGAGACTCCAATTCAGACCCCAATTCAGACCCTGGATTAGACCCTGGAACAAAAGAGGGCCCTGAAAGACGAGACTCCAAGGCGATTCGTGAAAAGCAGTTCCACAGCAGATCCACTTGGGAACTGTGCTGTGCCGGCCCAAGTCCGGTGCGGAGGACCACTTAAAGATCGCCTCGGACTTGATGCGAATGCGGAGAGAAATTATAACTTACATATTGAAATACCTTCTCCTCTGCTATTCCTTGTTTTATTACACTATTCTCCAGAAAATGCATATCCTCATCACCGGCGCTGCCGGTTTCATCGGCCAATTGCTTGCGAAGGAGCTGTTGAATGACCCAGCCTATCGCGTCACATTGACCGATATACACCAACCCCCGATTCCTGCCGGCGTTCGCTATCCCCAATCCGCAACAACAATCAAGGCCGATCTCTTGACAGGAGCCAAAGACATTGTCGATTCTTCCTTGGACGCCGTCTATGCCTTCCATGGCATCATGTCGTCCGGCTCCGAGGCCAACTTCGATCTGGGCATGAGTGTCAATATCGATGCCACCCGCAACCTGCTCGAGGCGCTCCGGCACACCTGCCCCGGAGTGCGGGTCATATATTCGTCCAGTCAAGCCGTATACGGCCAACCGTTGCCAGAGATTGTGACCGACAGCGTGATCCCGACTCCGGAGTCCTCCTACGGCGCCGAGAAGATCGTGTGCGAAACGCTAATTAACGAATACACTCGCCGCAAGTTCATTACCGGCTTTACCCTGCGGTTCCCTACCATCTCCGTACGACCGGGTGCGCCTACTGCCGCAGCTTCGTCATTCCTCTCCGGCATGATCCGGGAGCCCCTTGATGGCAAGAAATGTGTGATTCCCATTGAAGATCGACAGTTCAAGTCGTGGCTATGCTCGCCCAAGACCCTTGTGGAAAATCTCCTTCTTACTCTCCGTCTTCCTGCCGACTCTGTTCCCCCGCACATTCGCCAGATTAATGTGCCTGGAATCTGCGTCACGGTTCAGGGCATGATGGATGCATTAAAAGTAGTGGGCGGTGCAGATAAACTGGCCCTGCTTATAGAGAAGGAGGACTCCGTGCTGGTTCCAATTTTGAAGTCATGGCCGACGCAGTTTGATAACACTCAAGCCATCTCCTTGGGGTTCAAACGCGACGAGTCTTTTGAGCAGACCGTGCGGGATTATAGACAGTCATTGGCACAATAATTATTATATAGTTTTTAAAAACTTCAATATTACTGATTGGTTTTTCTCAACCCTGTTGTCATTTTACCTACAAAAGAAGCAAATAACGCATAGTTGGTTTTTATATATATAGACCAGAGAGTTATTCAAGCCAGTTGAAACACTTGTCGGCCCAAGTCACCACCTGCAACCCGCTTTTCCTTGTACAGAACCCACCTCCGTTCAAATATTGGACTGCTCATCGGGAAAGCGACTTGGGTGAGATATTCAATAATATCCCACTCAGAGTAATAAAATATTCCAAAATGCCAACACAAATCTCCCTTCTCGTGTACAAAGGCGTGCCAGTAGACTTCTTCAAATACCGACACACAGCGCTGCACGCCCTCTACTCCCACGGCCAATATGATTGGCTTCATGCTGTCGGCGCACATCCTTTCTTTGAATTCCAAAAAGACAGCCAAAACCCCATGTCGGAGGAGCCGATAGCTTGGATTCCTGTATGTATAGCGCCGGACTCTGTCACCAAGGCGAAGATCATTTCTGCATGTGCATGCACGCCGGTGCGCAATAGCAATAGCGACCGAGACTGGAACTGCCAGAACTGGGTTGGAGATGCTCTGACTGAGCTCGTTAAGATCGGCTGTTTGACAAAAGAAGAGCGTACAGCAGCCATTAGTAAAATGGTGGAGACTATTTTGGAGGCGAAGCTGGAAGATGTGAGTTATAGCTGCCCTATGAAGAAAATTATATCTACTAATGTAGATTTGTTGCTTGTGCATAGGATGGGATGTTCTAGTATATATGATCCTCTTTCTGCTCTTCTTGGCCGTGGATGTGAATTTATGCCATATCACACCACAATGTGGAAGACATGCAACGTTATGAGGCATTGATAATGATGAAGTTTCTTGGGGGGTTTAGTAATGATATTCATGGTCTCATATCTCTTGATACATCATTGTTTAATGGTACTTAGCCGGCTGTACGTATATCAACGGCACATAAAGTAAGACATCAGCCCGGGGAGATCATTCCCAAACCTGCGATTCTCTTAGCACGCATCCTAGAACTCGAATCAACAGCTCGCCCAAACCTGTCCATCTATGGCAATAAGCCGATTGAATAATTGGTTCCTCGTCCCCATGGCAGTGAGTTGATGTGACTGCCCTGGCTCCTTGCCAGTGATGAGCAAACCATCAACCACCTCCTTACCACCAAGAGCCCAGCCAACAACCAATTTTCCCTTCCATCCCATACCACCTAACTTTCGCATCTCCTGGATTTCAGTCACCGGCATGGTGAACAGAACAGATTCACTCTTTCGATTCTCCAACTGTGCATCTCCTTTCTGCGGTGTATCGGTCGTGAAATATAGCAGTGGAGGCTCCTTGGTAGAGTCGATAATCACAGTGCCGCGCTTACCATTGCATCGAGCGTCAAATGCCACAGGCCCACTTGGTGTTATCCTCTTCCCTCTATCACGTAGGACGCCGACACGATTCTTGGCATGATGGCAACCGGTTGCTGCTCGCAAGCGATCAATCCCTCTTTTGCTCTCGACGCCACTGGCCGTAGTTCCTCGAAAGAAGCCCAGAATGCTAGACCCCAAGGTCCTTTTGTGTCTCTTCTCTGGCGGAGCTTGGACCTCCTGGGCATGCTCGTCAGGCTTGGCCAGTGCAGCTTGTTTAATTTCCTCGTCAGTAGCATCTAGAGTCAGTTCATCCTGGTTTAAAGACACTGGCCGCGAGGGCACCTTTTCTTCTGAGGTTGGAGGGGGTGGAAGTGGTGACCCATTAGCCTCGCCGATACGGAGAAGAGTAACGGCTAGCTGAGCATTTGTTGGGGTACCCTTCAGAAGGGTGCTATTGAGAGTTAGCATTGTGAGTACATGCACGGCTTGAAAATATACTTTTGCAACTGAACAAGCTTCTGCCAATTTGGGAGGCGACGATTCAGACATACAACCCCCCGTCTGATGACAGGGTCGCCGAAGAAGGCGAACCCGGTAAAAAATGTACTGAGCTTCATGAATACGTAGCAAGATGTTAGTATTGAGGCCAGGAATATCGGACCCAACACGGCCACCAGTCGCAGACGAGGACTCAGTTGAGGAAACGGGACCGTCGCAGACAGAGCACTAGATGAAGTTAATTTACCTGCAAGCCGTGGGGAAGAGAACCACAATTCCGTTACTCACTTGCCCAGCTTCTCATAGGTATCTGTAATGTCGCCTACCACTTGCATAGAAGCGTTCGCAGCGTCCATCACGTTCTCCTTCATAGGCTGTCGTGTTTTATCATGGGAGTCTTTCGGCACCTTGCCATGGGCAGCGCTTTGCGCATCGGCAGTATTGACAACCATATCCATCGCGTCTGGCACATCGTCTTCTAAGGGTGCATCATCAGGGACCCCTTGATCATGCTTTCCGACTGCGCCTCCCACGGCCACACAGGCAACGCTTGCGACAAGGTTACTGGCCTCTTGTTCAGCTGCCTCGCCTTTGAATTTCTCGGGGGCACCGGTAATACTGTCAGCAGACCCGAGGATTCCCGCCTTTGGCTTTTGTATACCACCCGTATCTTTGTTGACAAGAGGAATTGGAGCGGGAGGGAACATGAGCGATCGACATGGAGGATAGACCACTAGGGCAAGTAGGGTGCCCAGGATAGTTGGAACAAGTAGATCGAGAAGCCATGATAAGACGTAAACCTGCATCAAATCAGTAGCAGTACAAACAAAGGCTATTTATCCATAAAACGGAGACATGCCGTGCAAAAAGCAGCGGTTCGTCGCGGCTCCTTCCAAGACCGTAGTCGAGCAATATGTTTAATACAATTGGTTAAGCCAACAATAACGGTTGTGTAGAAACGTTCAAGTGTAGCCCTCAGTTTATCGGGCGAGAATTCGTCGTCGTCTTTTCACGTGAGATCTAGTCTTTGCACGGGAGCATCGGGAACTGCTTTGACTCGATAGACTTGCTAAAGTGTAGAACGAGAAGGTTAGTTCCAACATCTGTTACACGTGGGATGCTCAGCATATACCTTGTCAAATCGTCGAATAAGCATCCACAAATCCTCATTTGATAGCCCGGCCACTAAAGGTTCATCGATGGCATCCGGAGATTCACCCCATCCGATATTGGTAATTTCTGCTGTGTGGCCGGCTCTTTGCGAGAGGCCTTTCTCGTCCTGTTCCACCCGAGACAGCACATGGCTCTCAGTTGGTCCTTTTGGGATATCAGGATCCGTAGTAAGATTGTTGTCGGCCTTACTCGTAGTACCGTCAACCGAAGCAGATAGCATGGCCTGTTCGTCTGCTGCAGACTTGAGTGTGAGATTGCTGTAAAATGTCGGTGAATAAATTGAATAAATTGTTTTGCTATTTTGAGGCCTCGTAGGCTTGATAGAGAACGTCTATCCATCCATGGGTGTTGAACCTTGTCTCGTACATGCGGGTTGTCGACGTCATCTTCCTTGGAATCAGGGTAACGGTGGCAATCAACATAAAAACTTTAGAAGCAATTTGGATTATTTTAGTAACGGATTGCGTAGAACATGATGTGATAGTAGAAATGTTGGGCTGATAAAAAGAAGATGACTCTATTTAACTATAAAACTGCCCAAATACCATTGGACCTGATTTTGGCCTGGCAGAAATCCTCTAGTTAGTTATACAGTTCATGGCTTTTTACCACCTTCATATGCATCTAAAAAGATTCTTGTTTTGTATGGGTCGAAAAGCTTTACTTTTATAGGTTGGTTGCACATTGTTTTTTCGTGCCGAACCCTGTACTTTGTGTACTTTGTGTACTTTGTGTGTAGAGGTCTGAAAGCGGTCTAGAATCCGCTATGAATCAGGCATCATTCAGGCATCATTCAGGCCAAAATATCTCTGCTATACACCCGGATACCACGTGCCAGTCGCGTTCCCAGAAAGGTAACATCACTTCGCGTCCAACCGGCGAGACTCGCCTTGATGATAATTCGCTCTACCGATCTGCCACTCAGTCACTGGACACTCGACTCATCATGAGCGAGGAGTGTGCAAACCCCCTACTCCTGGGGTGGATCAAAGAATGGCTAGATCAAGCTCGAGAACGAAACAGCAAAGGCGTGACCGTGTACGTCTTTCTTGGCGCCCTTCGGGGAAGACTATATCTGACACCTTGCAGGTACAAGAAGGCTTATGAGTCAATGAAAGCCTGTCCGTTAGAATTCCAACATCCATCTCAAGCACAGCAATTGAATGGACTAGGTCCTAAATTGTGTGACCGCTTGACCGATAAATTAAAGACTCACTGTCAAGAAAATGGACTTCCAATGCCGGAACCGCCTGACAAAGGTTTGTGGCATCAATTGCACCCTGGCTCCCGAAACCGACACTCAAACAAGGTCATATAGGTGGAAAGAGAACATCTGAAGGCGGCGTCGATCAACCGGCGAAGAAGCCTCGGAAAGCCAAGCCATATGTACCAACATTACGATCTGGTCCATATGCACTGATGTTGGGCTTGGGAACCCAGGATGAGAATGCATCTCAGGGGCTGACCAAGGCCCAACTGATCGAGGTGGCCCAGCCATACTGCGACAGTTCGTTCACGGCCCCCCCAGACCCGACCAAGTTCTACACTGCGTGGAATTCAATGAAAACTCTCATCCAGAAGGATCTAGTCTATGAACATGGACGTCCACTTCGGAAGTATCTTCTTTCCGAAGAAGGCTGGGAGGTAGCCAAACGTCTCCAAAGGACATTACCTGGCGCTGCTCAAACCGCCACGTCTGACTCCCAAACTACTGCAACGATTGAGTCGCAACAAGGAGCATTGACAGCCGAACTTCAGTCGTTTCAACAAGATGACGATCCGTCGGCAGAGGCCCAAGAAAATTTATCGGAGCACGACATCGCCAACATTGAGCCCATCTTCTTCCCACCCAAGAGCTTCACCATCCAGCTCGTATTGGACACGCGAGAAGTCCGCACCTCCACCGACCGCGACTACATCTCTGGCGAACTTATGAAGCAAGGAATCGCGCCACAGGTACGCGCCCTGGAAGTCGGCGACGCGATGTGGGTAGCTAAATGCCATGACCCAACTTTCCTCACAACACACGGCGAAGAGGGCGATGAGGTCATGCTGGACTGGATCGTTGAGCGAAAGCGTCTGGACGATCTGATCGGGTCTATTAAAGACGGCCGCTTCCACGAACAAAAGTTCCGGCTCCGTCGCTCCGGCATCAAGAACGTAATCTACCTGATCGAAGAGTTCTCAGTCACGCACCCTGACTCGACTAGCGGGAGTGCAGCCCAATACCAAGAGATGGTTGCGTCGGCCATCGCCTCGACACAGGTTCTTAATCAATACTTTATCAAAAAGACGAAACACTTGGACGAGTCAATCCGGTACCTAGCGCGCATGACTCTGCTCCTGCGGAAGATGTACGGAGTCGAAGGTGCGCCCTCCATCGGAGACCCTGATAGCAATATCAACCGTAATACGGGTCCTCCGTCTCCAATATCTAAAATTGGCCTCATCCCCGGCCGCCGTCTCTCTACTGACTCCTACCTCACCATCCTCGATAATCTCCGCTCTCAAGACCCGTCCATCACGTACGGCGTCTCATTCATAACGTTTTCCGCACTCACTTCCAAGTCCGACGTTCTTACTCTTCGTGATGTGTACTTGAAAATGCTTATGTGTACCCGTGGCGTGACGGGCGAAAAAGCCCTTGAGATCCAACAGATCTGGCCAACGCCGCGGCATTTGGTGGATGCATACATGGCTCTAGAACCCAAGGAGCGAGAGATGATGATAGCAACTCGGATGTCAGAAGTTGTAGGGCGGAAGAAAGTTGCTAAAGATCTCAGCAAGCGCATTGCGGAAGTTTGGGGGGAGGTGAATTTGCATTAGAAAGGTCTCCTGTCGAGGCTACTTTGGAACAGACTTGAGTGCTGAGTTCATTCACATGTATTAGATACAAACGTAACGCCAAAATAAAATAAATGAATACCATAATGTCTACTTTTTCCATCTCACTATCTTCATAATACTTTCTTTATCAATTCTCAAAGCCAAGCTACTCAGCACAACAGAAATACTGCTCAATGCCATAGCCAGAGCAGCCCACACTGGACTCAGTCTCCAGTGCTCATTGGCCATGATCATCTCGCCATTAATCATTTTTTCATGATGGCCACTCACGATAGGATAGAGCACACCAGCAGCAACCGGAACCAAACAGAGGTTGTAGACGACGGCCCAGCCGAAGTTCATACGGACTCGATTGAACACACGCCGACTAAGCAGGACCAGCTGCAAAATTGTGCTCAGATCTGAGTTGAGTAGGATGAAGCTAGCAGAGTTGATAGCAACGTCGGATCCAGATGCCATAGCGATGCTCACGTCTGCTGCTGCCAGAGCGGGCGAGTCGTTCACTCCATCGCCGACAAAAGCGACAATAGGGCGTGGTGAATTTGAACTCGGTGTGGTACTACCGTCAGCTGGCATTGTATGCAGAGAACGTTCTTGAATCTGACGAACAAAGCTAGCTTTCTCCGCTGGCAGGACGTTGGCCATCACCTTGGAACGCGGGATGCCTAGCATGTCCGCGACGGCATGGGCGGTAGTTTGGTTATCACCAGTGCACATGAATACATCGACGTGACGCTTCTGAAGCTGAGAGATTATGTCGACAGCTTCCGGGCGTATCGTGTCTGAGGTGGCGAAGATAATAGCAGGTATGAACTTGGATGGATCGGTGGACGGAGTGTGTATTTGACGGAGTGAGAGAACTGCAGTCGACTTGCCTGCTGACTGGTATTTCGCCAGTAGGTTGGAAACGAAGTATGTGTCTGTTTCGGGGGACAATAGACTCTTGAGAAGACGTTCGTTGCCAATTGCAGCTTCATATTGCGTTTCGTGCTCGGGGCCAGACACAGTAAAAGTTCCTTTCATGCCCTGCCCGGAAATCTCATGAAAGTCTGAGGTCTTGACAGAGAAGGATTGTTGTGTCTTGCAAAATTCAGTGATTGCCTGCGCAATCGGATGGTTGCTGCTCTCTTCCATTTTCCGAGCCAGAGCCCATGCGACTCTCGCAACTTCTGGGTCATTGGTCAAAACTTCATGCTCAGAAACTTTCAGACTTCCACCCTCAGTCAATGTGCCTGTCTTGTCAAAGACGATTGCATTCAATCGACTGGCTTCTTGGAAGGCTTCACCGCCACCTTTAACCAGGATACCATACTTCGCTGCTAGGCCGCCTCCAACGAATAGCGCCGTAGGGGCTGCAAGGGCCAGGCCGCAAGGACAGGCCACCACAAACACCGAAATCGCAAATTCGAGCGCCCAGAACGTCCAGCCGCCATGTGCGACATCGAGGTAATCTGCGGGGAGCACACCGGAATGGCCAAGCGCCAGCCAGATAACAAAAGTCGAAATGGCGATCAGAGTGATAATAGGCACAAAATGCGAAGTGAGAAGATCAGCAACTCTTTCAAGAGGTGCACGCTTGCTTTGTCCCTCACGAACCACGGCGATGATTCGATCAAGCATAGATGAACCACCCAGCTCAGTGATACGGATCCGTACCGGCTGGCCGACATTAACTGAGCCTGTATAGACTATGTCGTCAGCTGTCTTCTTGACTGGTCGCGATTCTCCAGTCAAAGAACTTTCATCGAATTGGTACGATGCGCTATCGACGATGACTCCATCTGCAGGAGGCGAGGCGCCGTGAGGAATACTGACGACGTCACCAACCTCTAGGAGATCAACCCTCGTACGCTTCACTCCATCTTCGGAGGTTTCATCAGACAGCAGTGCTTCTGAAGGTCGAAGCTTGCCTAAAGATGTGACAGCATCGCCAGTTTTAGCTTTGCTGTAGGCCTCCAGGAATCGACCGGCAAGAATGAACAGAGTCAAAAAGACAACTGAGTCGAAATAAGTCGTGCTATGGGGGCTGGACTTGTTACCCACAACTGCATCAACGATAAGTACCGCCAGGGATGAGATATAGGCCACTGATGTGCCTGCAGAGATCAGAAGGTTCATACTACCAAAACGGTACAACCTCCGAAGGATCGGCACTCGACTTCCAGGCCGCCATAGCGCATAAACTTCCTTCATAGCCCGAACATGGAACACATCAGTGCCGTAAAACATGACAGGAGTTGACATTATAAACAGTGCCCATTCGATGCGGGTGACACTGCCAGACCACATAGTTTCCTCCAGATACATTCGAACGGAGTTTTCAGACGAGACAAGAGACATAAATACAATGCCTATAAAGAAAGTCGGGATGGC